TCTGACTTTGTATTAAATGACAAAATTGTATTACAAATAATCTAAAAAATGTATACATTTTAAGACAAGAATTGCTGTACAGTGAAGTCAAATGTAAAATTGTTAATGGAAAGCATCGCCACTGCACCAAGATAATGAACTGAACTGAATTAATGGCATGATAATCGTAATCGAACAATGAGACTAGTGGAGGTTCTAGGGCAGGGCTATTCAATTAGTTTGTCATGGGGGCCAGTTCATGAAAAGCATCCCAAATAAAGGGCCGGAGATATATAACTTGCCATATGAGTGATGACACAACAGCATGAGAGCCCATATGCGTTATATTTTTACTCCTTAAGTCACCCACGTTGGCTTTTTGTACATTAAAATGTTAATATATTGTATTTTGAAACTACATAATATCAGTTCATTGTACAACACACATTGTGATATATTCTTACATTAGAAAAACCAAACTTGCAAGCGGAAAAGACGTGATATGGGAACGGCTGCTGCTATAGTTAATCCTGTGTGCGTGCGTATTAGCCTCGGTGTACTTCAAACTTAAAACTAGCGCACAGGCAACTTGGCATTCGTTCTGTGCAATAGAAATGCGGCTTAGAGAAGTATTTACAATTAATAAACTGTGATGAATTAAATCGCAGTTAATAGTGAAATCGGCTAATTGTTGCATCCCTATTAATGATATCAGTGCATTTAACAATTAGCCTTTTCTACAAACATGTTTTTCGGCTGCCCGTACCACTCGCTTATGATGACTCAGGCTCTGTGCAGCCTTTAACTGCAGCTTGTGCTATTACTGAACAGACGCACGAAACTTCATAACTAAAGTGGCTGTTTGTCGACTGAACTAAATTTATTTTTGATGTCTTGGTGACACTGTTTGGAGGGTTGGAACAAAGTGCCTCGGGAGCCGGATTCAGCCCGCGGCCGGCCAATTCGGTGCACCACGATGCAGATGCGGACAATTTGGTATCGGTTCAGTAATAATCATAACCGGTTATTATGTAGTGACGTCATTCATCTCATATATGTCGCCGTAGCTTACTATGGTGAGTATTTACAACGCTCCAACTACTTACAAACACAGAAACTGTGCACAAATTTTGAGAATTGAGAAAATGAAAGTAAACTCCATTTTTCTCTCCCTCACTGTGGCCTATTTGACCTGCTAGCGTGACTTTTTCTCTCCTCTCGACTGTTACAGTGATACTTCTAGATACAGACATGAGAGTTTTCATTTGAATCTTTCATTTAATTTTCAAGATGCCCTCAGCAGTGCAAATGGCAGCGAAGTGTAAAATGTAACATGACGTAAACTAGACATGAGCCATATACACAATGACTCATTATAAAAATGCACAATATCAATATAGCAGTTACGGCTGCACAACTAATTGAAAAACATGGAAACCTCCAAATAGTGTTGAGAGGCAGCATACTGTATTTATAAAGTATAACGCACCCAAAAATGTAACGCATGTCTTCATGTAATGTATTCATGGCCGCGAAATCACAAGTGAGCTGTGTGCTTACCACAGAGAGGACTCGCGTAGCCTCAAATGATGTCTACTTTATTGAACAGAACCTGCATAGGCAGGGAATAACAGGTAATAAAGTTGTAAATAGTGAACAGGCTGTTGCACAGTGACTGTCTGGGAGTCGCACAGGAAGACTGATTGGCATGCAAGTTTTTTGTTTGTTTTTTTTCCTCAAAGTGACATCAGTCATGACATAAACCAGACTCAGCAGTAAAGTGAAACCAAAAACTCACACACCAAATGATGATATCGCATTTTAGCGTTATGATTACAACAAGCATTTGATATGAGTGTTGTGCATAAGAAAAAATGTTTAAAAGTGTCAGTATAACTACTCTAGCCTATGTTTTGTTGTATATAACGCAAAAAAGAATCTGATAATGACAAATGTCTCATTTTAAAAGTGAAAAAAAATGGTGTAATATAAATGTTGTCAATGACAGGTAGCAAGCATATGTCTCAAACATCATAACTCAACTTCAGAACTATGAATGGTTGTATTCTGATTACTTTACTGTGCGCTAACGACCAGGACGAATTTAAAGCCTATGCGGGTCCATCACTGCAAGTCTACACAAAATTTAGCATGTTGACCAACAGTAGACCTACACATAATAATATTATTATTATTATTGCTATTTTATCATATGTTTAAGAATAACAATAATCATAGCCTGTTCATATTACCCTTTATTTAACATCTACAGAATCGTGATCTTAATTTTAAGGAAAATAAATTGTGATTCTCATTTTGGCCAGAAACATGCAGCCTTAGTGGGCGCTTCAAAATACTTAAAATTTTAGAGTGCTTTTTTAAAATCATATTCAGATTGCTGTATTGCAGTGGTGGTAAATTCTTGAAGATGCCATTTAGTTTTAAACTGGAACATTTTCACGTTTATACGGCTTTGAAATTCTGTAAGGGCGAGGCAGTGGCGCAGTAGGTAGTGTTGTCGCCTCAAAGCAAGAAGGTTGCTGGTTCGAGCCTCGGCTGGGTCAGTTGATGTTTCAGTGTGGAGTTTGCTTGTTCTCCTTCCATTCGCATGGGTTTCCTCTGGGTGCTCCGGTACAGGTGAATTAGGCTAAATTGTCCATAGTGTATGACTGTGAATGAGTGTGTGTGTGGATGTTTCCCAGAGATGGGTTGTTGCTAGAAGGGCATCCACTGCTAAAAAGATATGCTGGATGAGTAGGCGGTTCATTCCACTGTGGTGACCCCTAGAATAATAAAGGGACTAAGCTGAAAAGAAAATGAATGAAAATTCTGTGACTATTTATAGGCTTTTTTCATTAACTTTGTAGAGTAAGGTAACATTTGTAAACATGGGTTAACGTAGCTGAAGTAGAATTATGTTTTTTTTTTATTAGTTACAGTTAATTTAACAATGTAATGACAACAAGTATACTGTTTGAATACCCTGTTTTGTATATTTATTTATGTATTGCTTGTTTGCACCATAGGCTGGGAGGACTTTAATTACGTCGGTGATGTATATCAAGATTGTTTAGCATATCTGACCAAAATAATGACTTGGGGGGTGTTACCTGGTGGTGTTATTTTCTTAAATAATCTGCAATAATGCTTTAAAATAAATAGTTATTTTATTAAATGAAGATATTTACTAATAAAATTAAGTTGCATTCTTTTAAAAGACGTACAACATGACTATAATATGGCAATTTCTCACTATTTCTCAATGATTTTGAGAGCATGGAAGCTGAAAACTTGACACATAAAACAATTAAAACAAAATCAGTTAACATTTATTTGAGGTTAATAAATGTAAATTTTAAAGAATTGAATTATTGGCTTAAAATGTGTGTTATTTAGATTGTGAAGACATTCACAACGGTTGTGATTCTCATTTTATTAGTGATAAATTCCAAGTGTTGCTCACTCCAAATCAATGACCACAAAGATTATAAGGCAGGCTGTCGATTTATAGTCACCAGATTAGTTTACACAATATAAAAACCGTTTAATACGCACAGAACAAAACTGTCAATCACAAAGTTATTTGCAATACAGTAAAAGCCCTTAACACAATTTCACATTCACAAGCTGAATGTGATAGTAGCTGACACTAATTCAACTCAGAACGCCAATAAACATTGTAAAGTGCCCAAAATTGCTCAATTAATAGTAAAAAAACAACAAATCAAGCTAGGCCTGGAAACCTGTCAGTCATGCATCAACTGTCAATCACAGAGCTACGATGACGGTGATGCCAGAAACCAAACAACGCAAAAACTGCTCGTCATGCAAGTTCTGGTGTTGAACTAACAGCTTATGCTGAATGTATTTAATACACCATATATGCGTTTACCTCTATAACGAGACAACCGAAATTTCTGCAACCAAATCAGGATCACTAAAATGAAATCTGAACGCAAACCGAAAGCATTGCGAGGCTAATACCGCGACTGATAAGAGCTGCAAACTGACAGCGTTTCGAACCAAATTTACCTTACTTTAAAATATAGTTATAATACTAACACTAAAAACACACATTTCTACTATATACATTTACTTTCTTGCATTGCATTTTGCTTACAACGTAAAGGTTGCGAGTTTCCCGTTACACGGAGCAGAAACACAAAATGGCGACTGCGGGCAGCTCAGCTGAGTCCTTACACTCAAAGTCGCTCAAACACTGAGGCCACGCAGTTATATTCCCGTTAAACGGGCTCATACACACTCAAAACAAATACTAGAGGGATGTAACGCGGGTTGGGTCAGTATAATCGGCATTAACAGCAAGAGAAGAGCTGCACATTTGCTCTGACCCGCTATCAATGCTAACTGTGAGTGTCACGGACTCGTCGTACACGTATCTCAGTGTGCGTACATGATCAAAACACACGCTCACCACTGATCAAAAGCCTGAAACTAGCACGAGCCGCGATTAATAGACATCTGTCAATGTCAGACGCTTGAAACGAGCGCGGATCACATGAACCCGACTTAATTAATTTGACCGTGCGTAAATGTGCGCGCATTCTCGAAGCATTCTACGTTAAATCGCCTGCATTCCCGCACAGGGAAACGTGAGATTTTCGCGCAGCGCGGCCGTCAAGCTGCGCAGAGCAGGGATGCGATGCTAACACTGGACAGCAGTCGGCCTAATGCTAACAAACAACCTCAGTACCCTACATTATCCTTTTCTTTAACACACGCCTAATGCACAGAACATACTTCGTCTCTAAAGCACACATGCATCCAGCCAAAGGGCTAAAACACATCCACACTGAGCCGTTTTCACGAACGAGTGTGCTTTCCTAGTAGCTAGCATTAGCATTCGGCGACACACAGGCCGCTCTCTCCGCGCACACCAGACAATCATTTCAGCGCTGATTAGCGCGCTTGACCCTTGCTCGAAACGACGCAGCACACGCTGGCACCGTTAGTAAGAAATAAACGCTTTGCATAAGTATGAAAGCCGTGAGTTTATTTACCTGCTTTATTTTGTTGTGAGGACGCGCGGGCTCTTTCTCTCCCACAATCCAGAACAAACAGCTCGAGACGTCGGTGACGTCATGCAGCGCGGAGGACGCACAGGACGTGAGGACAGCGAGCGCTGCTGTCACACGTGTGAAAGATCACTTAAAGCCGCTCTGCTCGCTTTTAAACCACAGTCTCAAATTAGAGAGCAGTATGAGGCGATGTGGTGGGAGAAAAGTCTAGTTTAATCAATGGAAAGACATCAGGACAGAAATAAATCTTTATAGTGTTCATTTTTGTTCCATATCGTTCTTTCTTTCTGCCTATTATATTGCATGCACGAAACAGCATATAAATATCTACAATGTATTAAAAGCAATGTGCTAAGATTTAAACTAATGAACAAACCTTGAGCCAAAGTTGAATAAATATGTTTTAATAAATCAATTTACTCCGTGAGGGAATTGGTTGGGCATGAAATTCTGTGATAGTCAATGTAAAAATAGCTTCATTTAAAAGTAATGTAAATATAAAACTTTTCGTACACAACATATTGATGAATTGCCATTTATAATTGGACATTTACACACGGGCATTTTTATAAGCAAAAGAGGGGCTAAATAAATATAAAAATAAGCAATCTTCACCTATTTGCAAGACTTAGAACTTGTTCATATTAGATTATATATATATATATATATATATATATATATATATATATATATATATATATATATATATATATATATATATATATATTTATATATATATATGTGTGTGTGTATGTGTATATATATATATATATATATATATATAAATATATATATATATATATATTATTTTTCCCCAATGTTGTTTAACGGAGAAAAAATGTTTTCAACAAATTTCTAAACATAATAGTTATAATAACTCATTTCTAATAATTGATTTATTTCATCTTTGCCATGATGACAGTACATAATATTTTACTAGATATTTTTCAAGACACTTCTACGACATTTAAAGGCTTAACTAGGTTAATTAGGTTAACCAGACAGGTTAGGGTAATTAGGCAAGTTATTGTATAATGATGGTTTGTTCTGTAAACTATTGGAAATAAATATAGCTTAAAGGGGCTAATAATTTTAACCTTAAAATGATTTTTTTATTATTAAAAATTGCTTTTATTTCAGCAAAAATAAAACAAATAACACTTTCTCCAAAAAAAAAAAATATCTTTAGACATACTGACATACTAATTCTGACTTCAACTGTATATATTTATTTATTTATTTATTTATAAAAACAAAAAGGAACAGGTATCAAGGTATCAATCAGGTATCAATTAAGCCTTTATTGTCACTACACTTTCATATAGCGAAATTGGACCACCCAGACCATACACAAAACATACACATAACATAACACTTTTTAGGGGAGACAGATCATAGGAGGTGGACAGATCATAGGAGGTAATAAGTTTTACAATAGAGATTACATACAATAAGTAATCAACAGTCTATGGGTAAAAAATATTAAAAAGTAAATAAAATTGTAACTAAATAATTAATAAATATACTATATATACTTAGAAATATACTTTTTGTTGTCAAACTTTGCAGAGAAATAGCTTACCTTTCTGGTGTACTGAGTTTAATCAACCACTCAAAGACTTTAAAAAACAATGTTATTTTAGAATTGGCAAATTTATTGACACAAACTAATATTAACAATATTAATCAGCAGTTCAGGTTACATAGCTTATCCATGTATGTTATTGTTCGATTAAGAAAAAAAGCATTGTGATTAAGTCAGTCTTCTGGATAATTTATATGTGGTATAAAAATAGCTCAGTGACAGTTGTTTCCACAAAGTCACATGGGGTGTATTGAAGGGTGAACTTCTCCAAAGACAAGCAGCATTAGCTATAATGTCTCTAGATATATCTCTCTGACTATTACTGTTATATAATCATGAGCAACTCTTTAATGCACTGGCTTTTACTACCAACACGGCTAAGCTTATGGACCCTCTCTTTGGTCTATTACATTGTGGTGTATGGCACAGCTGGACTGACTGCTTGCTTGATTTTGATCCGGATCGCCTGGACTGGATTAAAGGATCCATATGGAACTTTTCAATGGACCGTCCGAAAGAAACCCCCAGCCTGTCTTCAAGACCCTGAGCTTGGTGACCATGCATTTCTGAAGGGCAGGGTGAGAGGATTTGAAATGGAAAAAATATCAGTTATTTATGTTATCGGATGATTTTTTGAAAGATTATCTTTCAACACAGTATTATACAAATATTATTTTTGAAGCTATACAGTAGGTTAAATAAAAATTTTGATATAATTGGCGCGTAACGTTGTCTACTATTTTTTGGTGTTTATTTAAGTTATAATTGTAGGCTAATTTTGCTGTAAATTTAATGGCAGTCTCTCATTGAAAACGTAAAAGTAAACCAGCAGTATTTCTCCTCCTGTGTCCTGTGTCTTTAGAAAGGTGAATGAAAGGCTAAAGGATTGTCCAAATCTGGTGTTAGTGCGCCACCTGTGTTTAAAAACATAGCACGGCGTTCACAATCCTGCTGGCTTTCCTTTGTCTTTATGATCACACTTCAGCGCTGTAACCCTTGCAGATTTACTGTTGAATGGAATTTATTTAAAGGCTGATTGATATCGACTTAAAATACTAGTATACTTATTAAAATAATTTATTTTGACTGTTTGTTATTTATTTATTTCCTCTACTCTAAATCTGTTTTGTTGTTGTTTGTCTTTGTTTTACCCTGCAGAGCTCAGGTTTGAGGTTTCATTATGTGACTAAAGGAGACCACAAAAAGCCTCTAATGCTGTTCCTTCATGGATTTCCAGAGAACTGGTGAATTCTGCCTTCATTTGTTTTCTTTCTGCTGGCTTGCATTTTAACTAATATCTAAATCTTTTTGACACTTTTTCTTTTGGTACTCATGCAGAAAACAGCCTATATCAGATTAAATGAAGTCTGAATGAAAAATTAAATAGAAAAAATTTGTTTTTACAGTATACTTTAGCTAAATTCTATAACCACAATTTAGTTAAAAACTACATTCTAGTATTTATTTCAAGGTGGAGTTCTCTGTGTTTGTGTCTTGTTGGTTTCGTTTTGTACAATATGTTCTCTGTCACTGGGGTGGTACTTTTTAAAAGGTACTTTTTTGTTTCTAACAGGTCCTTGCAGTTACATATAAATACATAAAGTACAAATCTGTACCTCATAGTACCTTAAAGTAAAAAAGTGAACCTTAAAGGTAGAAAAAGTGTGCAAAACAGATATTAATATGCAGCTTTAAAATACAAAGAAATACTTCATTCTTTCATTTATTCATTCATCGCTTTTTCGGGGCCGGGTCGCGGAGGCAGCAGTCTTATGAGAGAACCCCAGACTTCCCTCTCCCCAGGCACTTCCACCAGCTCCTCCGAGGGGATCCCAAGACGTTCCCAAGCAAGCCGATAGTCATAGTCCCTCCAGCATGTCCTGGATTTTCCTAAAGGCCTTCTCCTGGTGGGACATGCCTGGAACACCTCCCTAGGTATGCGTCCAAAACAGATGCAGAGCCACCTCAGCTGACTTTTCTTAAAGTGGAGGTGTAGCAGTTCTACTCTGAGCTCCTCCCGGGAGACAAAGCTCCTTAACTTATCTATCAGGGTGTGCCCTGCCACCCTGCGAAGGAAACTCATTTCAGCCACTGGTCTCTGAGTTCTTGTCCTTTCAGTCATGACTCAAAGCTCATGACCATAGGTAAGAGTAGGAACGTAGATTGACCACTAAATCGATAGCTTTGCCTTTCGGCTTAGCTGCTTCTTTACCACAATGAACTGATACATCGACCGCATTACTGCTGCCGCTGCACCAATCCACCTGTCAATCTCACGTTCCATCCTTCCCTCACTCGTGAACCTACTTGAATTCCTCCACTTGGGGTAAGGACTTTTTTCCAACCTGGAGACGGCAAACCACCTTTTTCCAGTGGAGCACCATGGCCTCGGACTTGGAGGTGTTGATTCTTATCCCAGCCATGTCACACTTGACAGCAAACTGCCCCAGTGCATGCTAAAGATCCATGTTCATCGCAACACTGAATCATCTGCGAATAACAGAGAAGAGATCCTGTGGTCACCAAACCAGCCCATGGCTGCGCTTTAAAATTCTGTCCAGAAAATTATAAACAGGATTGGTGAAAAAAAGACAGCTCTGCCGGAGTACAACATGCACTGGAAACAAGTCTGACATATTGCCAGCAATGTGAACTAAAATCTGTCTCTGTTCATACAGGGTATAACGAGAAATACTTGTTTACTTAAATGTTTTAAAGCGAAGTGTAACGGAGGCCAGCTAGTTAGTGTTGTGCAGGTAAACCTCACTCCTCCAACCTCTAAAAGGTGCTCTAGCGTCAAACACTAGAGGCCATGGTCTTTAGCCTCCTTGGTATAGCAACCAACTCCCATGCGGAGAGTCGCTGGATCGATACCAGGTCGAAGCAGGGGTTGGGTGGCGTAGGACAGGCGGGGTTACAGATGCTTAGTCTGTATCATGCCTTGCTTTTAGCCTATATATATATATATATATATATATATATATATATACAGATGTTACTACTTCAATGTGTTTCTTGTGCCGCCATTCATACCGCGGCGACGGCGTTACTTGATGCGCCAGCAGCATTTGACCGCTGGGTGGCACTTTAACCACAGATATTCAGCTTTGCCTTTTCACAATGCTAAACAGACTGTTCTGTAGGCGTAGCTTACTGTGTGTGATGTGATGTGTTCAATTAAAATATAATTTTAATTTAGTTTTTCTGGTAATAGACATGCTCTTACACTATACTATGCTGTAGAAAAGATACATGGTGAGAAGTCAAAAAGCAAATATAAGAATTAAGTTATTAGCCTTCAGTGCCCGATTAAATTGCGTTGGGGTGAAAATAATGTTTTGATTTCTTTGACTATCATGGCAATGTTATTATCTCAAATCTTAAACGTGCGCATATGAAAAATAGCAAAATAATATAGATTATTCTGCCGGTAGAGCACATCACCTCACAGTTGTGAACTTGCGATCACCTCAACTTACATTTAAAATTTGTTTACCTGGTTTATTGTAAACTTTTTAAGTGCAAAGAGGATTCGTTTTGGAAAATAGAATTGAAGAAATGAAAGACAACTAAAATGAAAGCACAAACATTCAGTACAAATAAGTAGTCTTAAATAAATAAATAAATAAATAAATAAAGCAGTCTTTAGGTCTAAATATAGAGAGATGTAGTGTTTGCTATTTGCATAGGACTAAGACAAGACATGTTCATTTATGTTTTTAATTTACGTTTTTATTTACATTTTCGTTGTTGATTTTATTTTACTATCTCATTTTATGTTTCATTTATAGTACATAATAATAAACGAATAATGAAAATAAATGAATAATGAAAATAGGACATAAATTAAGTCTGGCAGGTTTATTTTTAATAATTTAGTTTCAGTTCCGTTTTTTTGTTTCAAAACGTCAATGTTCTGCTTTAAAGTATAACTGTTTTGTTTTGTTTTTTTTACTTAATGGCTCAGTATGTTTTGTATTTTAATTTCATATTCAGTCACCTTGCATATGCGTGTGAAATATAATGCCGCATAACCGCGGAAAAAGAAGAAAAGTCTGTCAGTTAAAGCTAATTAATCAAAATAAGCTATATTAAAATACAGCATTTATGTTAATACAGGCAGAGTGTGAACAAACTCAAGGCTAAGATATGCGCTTGCCTTTTAATGCATTTAAAAATATTTGCGGCCTTTTATAGGCTACAGGCAACTATGGTGTATAATATTGTTTTTTTTTCCTTCTTTTTTTGTATGGTAAAGGACAATGCACATTATGTTATTGATGTAAACTTAGGCTAAAACTTACCATTGATAAACGTGACCTACCTCAAGCAGATCACTTAAAGTGTAATAAAAATAATGTTGCCGCAGGACATAAATGAAGTCCCGCAAGTTTATTTTTAATAATTTAGTTTCAGTACTATTAATTTTTTTCTCAAAACGTTATTTGTACTAAATGTTTGTGCTTTCATTTTAGTTGTCTTTTACTTCTTCAATTCTATTTTCCAAAACTAATCCTCTTTGCACTTAAAAAGTTTGCAATAAAGCGTGTTAACAAATTTTAAATGTTTAATGAAGGAATTATAATGCTTTGACTTATTGTTTAATATCATTTACAAGCACAGTGGCTGCTGTATGGGCTATTTCTTTCCGTTCGCATCCCGTCCCTTTGCGCCCCCTGGCGGCTCATTCACAAACTGCGGTCATACACTAAAAACAGAGCGGCACCTATTTCAAACGGCGGCGGTACATGCTGCGGCGTTAATAGCCACTTTGAACTCTCACCTACTGTATATATATATATATATATATATATATATATATATATATATATATATATATATATATATATAAGCCTAAAAGCAAGGCAAAATATTAGCCTACTAATAAACTTACAAAGGGAGAGGCTAAATCATACTTAAATGTGTCCAACTTAATTCCATGCAAATGTAAATGTGTACTTTAAAATCTCAATAGTAGCCTATCTAGCAAAATAAAATTTTATTTCTATGCAGTTTTAGTATACATATCAACAACATGAAAAACAATAGGCTACAGTAAAGCCTAAGTGTATTATACTGTATTTAGCTTTACAACACTTTGTTTACCCCCAGGGGTCTAAGGGTGTTTTGGGGCTGCCATGGAGAAGTTTTGACGTGCACTGGCATTTGTGCTGTTTTCACTATCGTAAAAAACATATTAATGACTGACATGTTTCAAAAAACAGTTGGTGAAGAGACAATAGAAAGAATGGCTACACTGTTTATTATTCCTATTTTGCAAAAGCACACACGTTTGTTGTCACTGTGAGTGTACACAAAAATAACTAGACACCTAACAGATTCGATTGATGTATTACTTTTATCTGTACGATCAAAACTAAAAGTGTTTTGTCGATTCTTTTCGGCATTATCAGGAGAAGATGTACCAAAACGCGTATATGCGGTCTTCGACCCCTGGGGGTTAGTGATTGCAAAGTGTCCTAAATATATTTTGGTTAACTTTTGTATTAACTTAACTAACTTACTTAAGTAATAATTTATTTTTGTTTTTACAACAGTAAACTGTGGCGTAGGCCTGTAAGAAAATGTAGAAAATTCAGAATTGGGTAATTTAGGTCTAGGCTACAATTCAGGGGTGAAAAGAGTACTGAAAAATCATACTTAAGTAAAAGTACCATCACTTGCCTAAAAATGTAGTGCAAGTAGAGTAAAAGTATCTGTTGTAAGTATTACTCAAAGTATGAGTAAAGAGTAGCCCTTTCAAAAGTACTCGAGTAAGCAGTAGTGAGTATTACGCTGTAAAAAGCTAATGCATTTACATGTCATTTGTGGTCGTGTGTAAATGTAACATACTGTAGTGCATTTAGTTATTGGCCAACAGGCACACAATATAAGACGTTAACATTAGGTTAGATTTAGGTTGTAATGATAGATGACTAAAATTCAATGTCTAGTAGTCAGAGTCTAAGGACAATGTTATTTTGATGTCCAATAACGACATCAAATGACATTAATATTTGATTGTGTTGGAAAGTGACCCAAATCCAACGTCATACTGACATCAAATACTGATATTTGTCAGGTATGGCAACCAAAATCCAACGTCTGATAGACGTCATAGTAGTAACGTCCACACAATGTCCAGCGGTAACGTTATTAGGCGTTGATATTTGGTTGATTTTAGTTTGTTTTATAAAGTGATCCAAATCCAACATTTTAAACCATTGAAGACGAACATCTGATAGACCTCATACTGATAAGTCCAAACAATATCAAGCTGTAACATCATTAGGTTTAAGGATTTTAGGTTGGATGTTAGACACTGAAATCATCCTTATGTTGGGTTCTGATGTCAACCCGATTTTTATCTCCAAACAAAATGCAATTTCTGCATGACATCGCGGTACAATGTCAATCTGACATCATGTTGACAACCTGTGCCTGCTGGGTGTTAAAAGCCCTTTCGGTCATCATACAGTAAACATCCGTCATCTTTTCATTAGTGACATGCATCTAAACAGTATCTGGGTCAATATGTGCAAAGATTTTGCACATCTTGGAAACTTTTAAAACAGTTTGCTGCTTTCAAACAGTTAGCTAAAATTATAAAGCGCCCATGTCTTGAGGTAGTTCATCATGATGCAATTTACCTTCTATGTGTGATTTGACTGGACACAGAAACCATGGGACTGATTTTTCTAATCCCCATATCCAGGAAAAAAATTAAGTAGTGACTGCAGATTGAAGGAAAGTAGTGGAGTTAAAGTACCGATACTGCACTAAAATGTACTTAAGGTAAAGTAAAAGTACACATTTCTAAAAGTACACTGCAAAAATGCTTTTCTTGCATAGATTTTTTTGTCTTTTTTCTAGTCTAAATATCTAAAATTTCTTATATCAAGAAGCATTTTCTAGACAAGCAAAACATATTGTCTTGTTTTGAGAAATAATATGCCAATATTAAGTGAGTTCTTCCTTAAAACAAGCAAAATAATCAGTTCAATGGGGTAAGCAAATTAATCTCGTTTTTTCTTTTGACGTAGGATTATTTGCTTAACCCATTGGCAGATTGTTTTGCTTGTTTTAAGGAAAAACTCACTTAATATTGGCATATTATTTCTCAAAACAAGACAATATGTTTTGCTTGTCTAGAAAATTATTTTTGATTTAGGAAATTTTAGATATTTGGACTAGAAACAAGACAAAAAAATCTAAGAAAAGCATTTTTTTGCAGTGTACTTAAACTACAATTTCTGAGAAAAGCAACTCAGTTAAAGTCATTTAAGTATTCACCATTGTAGATGTTGTATTATAGCGACAATTTTTTTTTTCCAGATTTACTTACAACAACAGGCCTACTTACTATATTAATTTTGCGAAGACGTCAGGTCACTAGCTGTGTCGTTTTATGAATTTGACGGTGTGACCACGTGACTTGCAGGTACTCGTGGCGTCATCAGCTCCTGGAGTTTAGCGGTGATTTCCACACGGTGGCGCTCGACCTGCGCGGCTGCGGAGCTTCAGACGCGCCCGTCCGGCTGGAGGATTATTTACTGGAGGCACTCCTGTACGACATTAGAGACACCGTCGACCAGCTGGGTACCTTTATGGCTGCTTCCTACATTTTCAAATATCTGCAACATGTACATCTTACAAAACTTCCAAATTGTTATTATTTTTATATAACTTATGTAACTTGTGTGCTTTCTGCAATACACACACTCAGAAAAAGATGCTGCTTGCTCAAACTACTTATTTAAAATGAGCTCAATCAATACCATAGATATAAACATGAATCTACATATCTATGAATCAATACAAGGGGCATCACTGTGGCTAGCACGACCGCCTCACGGCAAGAAGGTCGCTGGCTCAAGTCCCGGCTGGGTCAGTTGTCATTTTTGTGTGGAGTTTGCATGTTCTCCCCCATGTTCAGGTGTGTTTCTTCTTTGTGCTCTGCAGGGGCGATTTTAGGATTTTTTATTTTAGGGTGGCTCAGCTCCATGAAAAACAAAAAAAAAATTATATATATATATATATATATATATATATATATATATATATATATATATATATATATATATATATACATATATTATATAACGCATTTATGAGTAATAATTTAATAGTAATACACTTAAAAATGTTTCACTAATAGGGTAGGGTTGTATGCTTATCTAGCAGTATTATACTGTATTGTATAGACGTGCATAGTCTTTTGAGTTCTGAATTAGCCAAATAGACTCAACAAACCTGTTTACTGTACAAAAAGCCACTTTATATGTTAACGTACAATTTTTGTTTTTATGTTTTAATAAATAAAATTGCCACTTTTCTAATGAAATGGTATATAAATAAAATGTATTATTTTTGAGCTACAGGCTAATTCACATAGTACACGAACTGAATCATAATATTAAAATAGGAAATATTTTTAATACAAGACGTCACATGATGTTTCTTTCTTTGCCAGTGACTCTGACAGTTAAAATGAGCATATTCACTAAGTGGTTCCGTCACTGTGCATGACTGTGATAGAGATAATGCCACATGCACTTTTATGTGTTTTATATTGGTAGTTCATATAAAATACCCACATAGCAAAATTTCTCTGGCCCAGCTCTGGCCCAAACAATCAGGTTTTGCTTGGCCCACATGCCGCAGTGAATTACGGTACATGACTGGACCAAATCTGGCTTCCAGACAAAGGCCAAACACAGACCATATCTGGGCCAAGTCTCAGCCAAGTTAATAACTCATAACTGGGCCTGAACTGGGCCAGATAGGTTGGTGTGTCACGATTGCAATGAAATTGATAAACCCATGAAGTGATGCGCTTTAGGCACACTATGGTTACGCTTTTTCTCAAAGTGACCTGATTGGTAGAATTTCTTTTCTTTACTCAAAAATGATTTTAGTGTATTTTAAATGTGGGTCAAGACTGGCCAAACTCTCATAGCCCACTTATCAAATTTTTAAATCTGGGCCAAATACTACGTTTTTCACCTGGCCCAAATCTTGTGTGCCGCCTTACAAACGGTGCCACCTCTGCCAAACCCGAGCCATGTTTGGCCCACATGCTGTATGCCAGTGCCGGATGAATGCCTGCTGTGCCAGCTTTTTGCCAAATCTGGGCCAGAATTCTTTGCTACTAGGGTAAGTAGTAAAATGTTCGTTAGGAGTTACATTTTCGCTGGAGGAAACAGTCGTGGTTATGAGGTGAGCACTGAGGAAATAGTAGATTGGAAACCCTATTGCTCCTATCTGACATCAGGGTACAAGTGATACAAGTGTATCCATAGCAAAGAACTACAATAAGCATTTTGTATAACAATGTATCGACAAAACACAATTGTTCTCTCGCTCTGCACAGCTGTGGTTAGCTGATTAAATGAAAAGCGAAAGTAGGGGAAGAGCCGAATTCTGCCGCCGTCCTCATGTCAAATTTAAAGGGGACAGAGACGATAATTTGGTCTACAGTTTAAGAGCTTATTGGAAAAGTTTAAGGGGGGCTGAGTAGAAATATAGGCCTAGCGCGCCGATGGTGCTCTAGTTTCCCCCACAGTCCAATAACATCAGGGGTGTCCAAAGTCGGTCCTGGAGGGCCGGTGTCCTACTGAGTTTAGCCTTAACTTGCTTCAACACACCTGTCAGGAAGTTTCTAGTATATCTAGTAAGAGCTTGATTAGCTGGTTCAGGTGTGTTTGATTGGGGTTGGAGCTAAACTCTCCAGGACACCGTCCCTCCAGGACTGAGTGTGGACACGCCTGCCTGAATAAGCGTGATGCTCTATAAGTGAATTGAACAACTAAAATGGCTGTGGTCTATCATGTATGTGTGTGAATGCAAGTGTGTATGGATGTTTCCCAGTTTTGGGTTCCGGCTGGAAGGGCATCCGCTGCGTAAAACATATGCTGGATAATTTGTCGGTTCATTCAGCTGTGGTGGCCTCTGATGTATAAAGTGACAAAGCTGAAGAAAAATGAAGTTTCTCAAAGCTTATTATGACATTTTTGTTAATGATTGAGACTTTGTAAAGATTATTTTCTCTCTTTATTTCTGACTATGGCGAGGCAGTGGCGCAGTACATAGTGCTGTTGCCTCACAGCAAGAAGATCACTAGGTTCGAACCTTGGCTCAGTTTGCGTTTCTATGTGGAGTTTGCATGTTCTCCCTGCTTTTGCGTGGGTTTCCTCCGGGTGCTCCGGTTTCCCCCACAGTCTAAAGACATGCAGTACAGTGAATTGGGTAGGTTAAATTGTCCATAGTGTATGAGTGTGTGTGTGTGTGTGAATGCGTGTGTGGATGTTTCCCAGAGATGGGTTGCGGCTGGAAGGGCAACCGCTGCGTAAAGATTTGCTGGATAAGTTGGCGGTTCATTCCGCTGTGGCGACCCTGGATTAATAAAGGGACTAAGCCGACAAGAAAATGAATGAATGAATATTTAAACTTTCTTTTTACCCTGGCTACCCTGCTATTGTCTTGTATCTGTCAACTGAAGCCTTAACACTTATGGCTGTATCACATTTCTACCTCCGACACTACATGAACACTGGAGTGATATTTGTGTGATTTCAGGGCACACCAGCTGCATTTTGGTGGGTCATGACTGGGGTGGGATGCTGGCATGGCATTTTGCCCTGGAGCGGCCAGACATGGTGCAGCTCCTCATAGTGATGAACGCCCCTCATCCCGCCTCATGGCTGGGTAAGAAACTGTTTCGACCAGTCATAATTTCACTTCTGTTTTTCAACATTGTTCTGCACTGAAACTGTTAATGTGGACATATATGCTCACATCTATAAACCACAGATGCAGTTTTGAGAAGACCATCTCAGCTGCTGCGATCAGGACATGCCTGTTTCTTTCAGCTACCATTGCTGCCCGAGTTTGTTTTGTCTCTTGAGGATTTTAAGGTAGGTTAAAGATTATTATCTATAATTGCACTGTATTTTGATAGTCTCTTTTGCTACTCAATGTGATCCTTTTATACTTTATTCTTTGTGTTTGTCATATGCACAAAATCCTTGTCCAGTGTCTGCATTTTTCTCTCCAAAGGTTATGAGCAGGGCTGCCAGGTCCAACAACAGTTTTAAGCCCACATTCAAGGTTTTGACAATTCAAATACGCTGAACAGGAATTAAAGTAGCTCAACTTTTTTTCTGCTTTGTCCAGTCGAGTCAATTACTAGATTCCCACAAAGGAAAAGGTTTAGCATAATGTCTTTGACATTTTGTGATATACATACTTCTAGATAGTCTACTTGTTGAAGTACTGACTGACTTTTCGCACATCCAACAACACTTCAAGTAGCTGCTTTCTCAGAAGTTGGTGTAACTCATCATGTTTTACTCATTTGATATGTGGCATTCAGTCAGACGGCTGTACTCCTTCACTCACAGGAGTTATTGGGTTGCCAGGTATGTGCTCTAGGATCAAAGTTAATTGAGAAACAATTCTGTTTTCATTTGGTATTTGCAAGAAAGAAGCCTTTTGGCTGAAGTGGCACATCATAGCTCAAAAACGGCAACCTGCGCCTTCATATTCTTTCTCAAAACTGCACATTCAAAAAATCCCAATTGGGTGGAAACCACAAATCTGGCAATATTGGTTATGTGCAACACAATTGTTTATGTGCTTATTAAAATAGTAGCTAGTAGCTTTTTGAAAGTAATATTATTGCAACTACAAAGGATCAAATGATGTACCTCATTACAATCCAGAAAACATTAATAAAGTTTGAGCATTACTAAAAATAACGAGCAGGAGTAAATAAAATATATATGATAAATAAAAAAAATATTAGACTTTAACATACAGATTGCAAAATACATCACAACAATTTCACCTTATTCATCCATAAAGTTGGATTACAATTCGAAGCTTTTACACTTGTAAAAAAATATATTTTCCATACGTGGCAAACCATAATTAGCAAAATCAAAATCTTAGGTTTTGAAAAAAAATATGCCAAACCTAATTAGAGTTTGTAGTGTATTCCCTTGCAAGGGCGCATACACTGTAGGTGTCCACTGTTTTTGCTGTCTTCAGTGGTTTGTTGTTCTTGTTTTCCCTTTTCTTCTTTCTATTAGGTTAGAATTAGTTGAGAAATGCAGGTGCAAAGCTACATACATTTTTTAATACAGTAGAAGATGTGTTGAGGAGCCATCCAAATACAGTGTTACTGTATAAATATCAAACTGTTTAATGAGGTAAATAACAATGTCTGCTTACTTTGTTTAGACACTTTATTATAGTTCACTAAAATTATAAAAACAATAAAACTATATGCAATGTATGCAAATATATATTAATTAAATCTAAAATAAAAAACACTAATACAAATACAATAAATAAATATATTTTTTTAAATATTCACATGTTGCTTATGTGACACGTTTACTTGTTTTAATTTTCACATTTTCAGACTTAATCATATAAAAGAGCTTCTAATAAGCTATATGGTAGGCTTTATTATTCATTTGTAGCCTTAAATTAAGATTGGATATAAAAAGAGGTTTTCAGTGAATGTTCAGTTTTTTCAAAATGAACATTCATAAATGAGTCATTTTACTTTTCAGTCCTAAGTACATAAATAAGGTATGTTTGTACTTTTCATTTTAAGTAAATTTTAAAGAAAAGCTCGAATGATGTACCTCATTACAATCCAGAAAAAACGTTACTAAAGTTTGAGCATTACTAAAAATAACAAGCAGGAGTAAATAAAATATATATGATAAATAAAAAAAATATTAGAATTTACTTTTCAGTCCTAAGTACATAAAAAAGGTATGTTTGTACATTTCATTTAAGTAGATTTGAAAGAAAGAACAGAATTGTTATTTTAGTATAGTAATTTATAGTAAACACTGTAGTGTTTTTTGAACCTTACTATATAACAAAGTACTCTGTTGTGTTAATTCTATAGTTGCTAAGGTAAGACAACTATAGTAATATAAATAAATGACCCAAAACTTGTTTCCTAATGTTGTCTACAGTTTTATATCTATACTACTTTACGCCACAGTTTACTGTAGAAAAAAAAGGTATATTTAGTAGTACAGTATAAACACTCACCGGCCACTTTAATAGGTATAGCTGTCCTGGTCTGGGTATTTCAGAAATTGCTGATCTACTGGGATTTTCATGCACAATCATGGTTAACCAAGAACAGTCTGAAAAAGAGAAAGTATCCAGTGAGCGGCAGTTCTGTGGGCGTAAATGCCTTGTTGATGCCAGAGGTCAGAGGAGATTGACCACTCGTTGCAACTGAGGTATGCAGAAGAGCATCTCTGAGCATACAACATGTCGAACCTTGAGGCAGATGGGCTTAAGCAGCAGAAGACCACAACGTGTGCCGCTCCTGTCAGATAAGAACAGGAAACTGAGGCTACAATTCGCAAAGGCTCACCAAAACTGGACAATAGAAGATTCGAAAAACGTCGCCTGATCTGATGAGTTGGGATTTCTGCTGCGACATTCGGATGGTGGAGTCAGAATTTAGCAACAACAACAGCATGGATCCATGCTGCCGTGTATCGATGGTTCAGGCTGGTGGTGGTGGTGTAATTTTTTTGAGGATATTTTCTTGGCACACTTTGGACCCGTTAGTACCAATTGAGCATTGTGTCAACGCCACAGCCTAGCCTGTACCTATTGTTGCTGACCATGTCCATCCCTTCATGACCACAGTGTACCCATCTTCTGATGGCTACTTCCAGCAGGATAACACACCATGTCATAAAGCGTGAATCATGTCAGACTGGTTTCTTGAACAAGACAATGAGTTCACTGTACTCAGATGTCCTCCACATTCACCAGCTCTCAATCCAATAGAGCACTTTTGGGATTGGGTGGAATGGGAGATTCGCATCATGGATGCTGTCAAGTCAATATAGAGCTAAATCTCTGAGGAATATTTCCAGTACCTTGTTGAATCTATCCCACCATAGATTAAGGCAGTTCTGGAAGCAAAAGGAGGTCCAACCCGGTACTAGTAAGTTGTACCTAATAAAGTGGCCGGTGAGTGTAAATTTGAATAAATAGACAGTATGCTTTTGCATTTGACAATAAACACTGTAATATATAGGATATAATACAATTTGGAATGGTTCAAAGACACTATAGTATTTACTACATATATTTGCATAGTAGTTTTTTCACGTGTGGTGTACTTACTAAAATAGCACTGCCGCTACTGCTACAGGAAACACTGAAATCAGAGGTCTCTGCAACTTCCTGTGCTTTTGTCATCTGCTGTCTGAATGAGTCTCATGGTGGCAGTTTATAGGTGGTGACAGCTTGTGTCTGTCATATCCATTAGTTGGTTCGAAGTCTATTTTGTGGCAAGAATGTGGGCATCAGGAACAGATCCAGAAGACTGACGGAGAGCCAGCTGGAGGGTTACCTGTACCCGCTGTCCCAGCCTGGAGGTCTCACAGCCCCGCTCAACTACTTCCGCTCTCTCCTAAGGTTTAAAGCTCATCACTACCATTTCTGCAACACTGGATTAAAGAAAAATCCATTTTGTTTTGGAAAATAGGCTCATTTTACAACTCCCATAGAGTTAAAGAGTTGAGTTTTGAATCCATTGAGCCGGGCCTGCTAGGAGCACTTTTAGCTTAGCTTAGCATAAATCATTGAATCAATATATAGTCTCATTCTAGTATAATGATGAAGAAACTTTGCCCCAGGCACAATAATATGCAGTGCTTATTATATATTAACCCAAGTTAACCATGTTTTTCAATTTTAACTTAAATTTATAAGTTATGCAAGCTGTTTTAAGTCAGTTTAACATAACATAAGATCAATGGACTTATAAGGTTAATTTGATTCAGCTTAAAAATTTAAGTCAACCAGGATTTTTACAGTGTAGTTATCTAGTTGGAGACTATTTTAAAGTTCTGTGAATATCACCATGGTGTGGCAGCAAAGTTCCTTCATCATTGCACCTGAATGGGGGTATTGTTCATATGTATGTTTTCAACTAGAGGTCTGCATTTCAACTAGAGCTGTGGGACCCAACCACGTTTCTTGCGACGCAGGAATAAATTTCAGAATAAAATGCGGTAGCATTCAGTAACTGCTGTAATTTGAAAACAGGTGAGCGTTTAACAATATAGCGTTCCGAAGTCCTCACCGTTATATTTGCACAGTCTGTGCGAGCATCATCTGCATATTGGTCCTCAGAGCAGGCTTAACCATGGCAGAACAAAATGAAGATGAGCTGGCCTTGAAGGATGTTCAGCTTGCATTAGGAAACGATCAGTTTACTATTAGGAAACCCACATCAGGAAAGTCTGTATGGGAGCCTTTTTATGCATAATAGATGCAATTGGAAAAAATGACCCTTTGCATGATGTGATAAAACCTCAAAATTTTACCCTTTAGCAGTCACAAGACTTGAACTTCAGGTTTAAGGCGGCACTAATGTCTCATCACAAAGTGGCAAACAAAACTGACATTTAGCCTACAATCCTTGCACAACCTACAGTTTTATTTGTTATCTTGCTCAATTTAAACATCATATTTTGGAAACCAGATCTAAATTTGTTGGGTAGAAAATTATTCTAAGTGGGCAGTGGGTGAACAAAGACTGAATATACATCAGGACAGGTTGAGTGCGGAATAAAATCTCATGGGACCAGGACTATAAAAATAGTCACACGCAGACCTCTATTTTCAACTTCGTATTTTCCATTAGGCTTAATATAGTACAGTATATACAGAAGAGTCGAGCTTTAAAAAGGATATTTATCAAAACTCTTTTTAGATTTTTTTTTGAGATGCTAATGATCTAACCTGATTCAATGATTTATGCTAACCTAAGCTAGAAATGCTTCCAATAGTACCTGGATGCAGCCTTTATGATGCAACCTGAGACTGCATCACTCAGCGATGCAATGTCAGACACAATGCACTCAAATGGAGCGAGTGACATCACTGTGATGGGTAGGGTTAGGGGTGGGGTTTGGTGAGCCCATTAAAAAGCATTGGATGCAGCCCAGATTGCACTGCACCAGGTCTGCAGCCAGACTCCTCTCAATGCTTCTAGCAGTTTGGCATCAATAGCCTATTGATTGGAGGTGCTCACGGCCACCAGTGTTTGATTCCCAGTTCGAGATTCTTTCCCTTTGTCTGTTCCCTATTGCATTTCTGTCTCCACTCTACTGTCCTAAAAATTAAAGGTTAAAAAAACTTAAAAAAAATAAAAATAAAGATAATAATGCTTCCGCCAGTCCCAAAGATTGGCTGAATCTACAAAAAACTGGTCAATCTCAACACTTTAACTCTACGTGACTTGTAAAATTGAGTCTTTTTACAAAAAAGTGGTGTGTTTATTCAAAGGGATAGTTCACCCAAAAAAAAAATCCTCAGTATTTACTCCCAATCAAGTGATTCTAGTAAAATTATTTGAGTATAGTATGTAGTATTTGAGTAAAACTGAAAGGGAGAACTTATTATATTTACTAGAGTACTATTTATAATTGGTACCTGTACTCAATTACTTAATTTGACTTACTAAGGTAGTTTATATTAAAAACTACAGGGTTTTTAACCCATAACAAAGGCACTTAAAATGTAAAAAAAAAACAGCAATCAACATCCATAGGAGGAACAAATAATACTATGGAAGTCAATGGTTGATACATTCTTCAGTATATCCTCCTTGGTATTCAACAGAAAAAAGAAACTCAAATAGGTTTCAAGGGAGAGTAAATGATGACTGAGTTTTTATTTTTGGGTGAACTGTCTCTTTAAATTGTGGTCTGTCGCTCGCGGTTACTGTGCACTTCTCACTCTACAGTAACACTCTTTACAAGCACCAGGACGTCGCTGTGCCCTGCATGTTAATTTGGGGTGAAGCAGACAACATCCTGGTAGAGGGCATGTCTGGAGGGACACGGCCTTATGTGAGGGGTCCGGTCACCATTCACACCATTCCCGAATGCAGCCACTGGGTTCAACAGGATCAGCCTGAGATAGTCAACAAACTCATATGGGACTTTGTTCTGGATAAAGACGTCATAAAACACTATCGCTAATCGCCTTCGGTTCATCTGAAGCAATGAAGAGTTATTGGCTGTAACAAAGGTTTCTATGCAGCTTTTCATTGGTGTGAATAAAGACTTGCCTTTAGTCAGGGGCCAAGCTCAGTTAGTCGTTGTCTTATTCGGCTCTTCAAGCCTCTGGCAGCCCATAGAACAGCAATTTAAGAAAGTCAACATCTCCAGCACCACCAACTGTTCATCGGTTGCACTCATGCTAGTCCTAATATCTTCAAGAAACTTTTTTTCCCCTCAGATTTCTTCAAATTTCCTAGAATGGGGAAAATTATGCATATCAACAAAACCAATAATATGCAAACACAAATTTAATGCAGAGTGCACCAAAGTAGAGACTATGGGCCCTATCCAACACCCGGCGCAATAAGACACAAGATGTGTTTGGTGTGATTTTGAGCTATTTTCAGACCAGCGCAACCCTAATTTTCCTGTTTTGTGCCACATTGTTTAAATAGCAAATCAATTTGTGCCACTTTGTGGACTCATGGGTGTGCTACTTTGAGGAACTGAAATAGACTGCGCCATTGACCAACTAAAACCTGGTTTAAAGTACAGTACAGAGCGCGTCTAAAACGCATACACATTGCTTAATGCACACAGCAATACACAAATATCTTTACATATGAAAAAAATAAAGGATTACAATTTTCTATATAAATATAAAATCCACTGCCTTCTTCATCTAGGGGGGCTTTCTTCAGTTCATTCATGACAATTTGCATTTGTATAATGTTGTTATTATTATTAGCAGTATTATTTATTATATGCATGTTTAGAATTGTTTCATTTAAAACAAGCTTGGATTTGTCCACCTGTCAGGTTTTGGACCATATGGGCATAAAAGTAGGATGCGTGTTTGAATATAACTCCACACTTCTTTATTATTGTTCATTTATTCGTTTACTGGAAATTACAACTGAATTTAGAACTAGTTTTGAAACAAATCTGTGCACTTAACAACTCAAATCAAACATGTAGACTAATGGATGTCTTCAGTGGATTGCATACAACACTGTTTCCTTATCCAACCAAAGTAATTGAGTAAAGAGTAAAAGTAATGTAAAGAGAAAGTAAAAGCCGAATGGAGGAGGCTCATTCTTTATTCTCATTCTTTAACTCTGGGGAAAGTGGGGGGGGGTCACGTGACAAGAACTGACCGATCAGCTTTAACTTGTATAGAATATACACATTTCGATAGACTAATCATCTCAGACAAGCACAGAACACTCAAACACGGCAGTGCTTTTTAATTTTCTCCATAATTAAAATCTGTATCAGAGCTGCAGCAATACTTTGTCAGCTTGTCATCCTCTGAGAAAAGGTTAATGGTCGCCAAGCAACCTACCAGAGATGGCAAAAGTACACACATCCTTTACTCAAGTAGAAGTACAGATACTGTTGTTTAAAACGACTGTGGTAAAAGTTGAAGTACTGACTACACTTTGGTACTCAAGTAAAACTAAAGAAGTATGGCCTGAAATAAGCACTTAAGTAAAAAGTGTTCATTACCATACTTTATTTTCATGGCAACTGCACTGCAAAATAACCTACATTTCTATTTTTTTTTTGTAAAAATTGTGGTTGCCAATTTTCAGCAGCAAAGTAGCCAAGCAACATCACTCTACAATATTGTCCAACAACGATTCTCAAAAAGCCCTGTATATCATCAGTTAAACACAAAACAACTTTACTGCTGTTAAAAACAACAGCCGCCACTGTCATTCGTATATTCTAAAATGTAATTCTTCAGCCTATATACTGTATTAAATACAAATAAATGTTTTAAATTTAACACTTGATTTTGTCCAGTATAAACATATATATATATATATATATATATATATATATATATATATATATATATATATATATATATATATATATATATGTGTGTGTGTGTGTGTGTGTGTGTGTGTGTGTGTGTGTATATATATATATATATATTTTTTTTTTTTTTTGATGAAAAAAAAAAATGAATGTAATTGACTACAATTTTTTTTTTTTTTTGCATTATGCTAAAGCTGCTTTATTTTCTTTAGACCACAAAACTGATCATTTACAGTAACCTGAATCCATTTTGGTGCAAAATAATGCACAAATGCCTAAATGTGATGGGAAATGTTTGATTCTGTTACTAATTATTGTTTATCTTGTTGTTAAACTGTATTAACTTCAATACAATTTTTTAGGCGTCATTTGTGGTTTTTTGTGACATCATTATGCCTGGAAAACAGTGCTTGCAGTCCAAACGAACTATTTGTTGTAGTTCTTGAAAAGACAGTTTTAAAAAAGAAATTTCTTCCTTCAGAATGAACTTAGCGATTTGTAAGTGTTTAGATCTTTTTTTATGCTCAAACATACAACACTAGATGCTGACTAATATTCAAAAAGTGAAAAAGCACAATAGGATCCCTTTAAAATGTCTTTAATTAAGTAAAAAAATTAATGTCTGTAAATATTTGAAACTGTATGCAATGTATAAAAAACATTGTAATGTATTAAACGTTTTAAACATTTCATTGCACTTCAATCTATTTGTTCCTTTTATTAAGATGCTTAGTTTAGGACACTGTCAAATAACACATTACATATTTAAAGCTTGTTTTCGTTGAGTTGTTTAATGAAAAAACAAATATAGTTAAAAAAATTGTGTATGATGTCACTACTTAAAATATGTTCCAATTTATTATAACTCATGTTTTTTTTTTCAGGTTTTGTTTCCCATGTGCATTGATTGGAGGGTTAAAAGCTCAGTATGTTAAATTACTGTGATACAAGTGACAACAATGAACAAATTCTCATTGAGAAAATCCCAATTCTTGAGGATGGTGCTCACTGACACATATGACTGTAAAACATCACAGTTAAAAATAGTAACCTTTGTTATGTAATGCTGTGAACGTTCTCTCTAGACCCTTTTTTATTCATCATTGCCCACATGAATGTCTATAAATAGATTTAAGCTAATTTCTCAGACAAAACATGGCCACAAAGACCTTTGGATACAGTGCATAGCTCACACATACTTTTGTAATAGATTTATGGTGCATTTATGACACTTTCATTAGGTTTTATGAGGATTTCGGAGTCAGCCAGTCTGAGCTGGACATTCTGCTAAATACCTCTTTCTGTAGCACAGACATCTGATGAAATCTAAATGAAACTACATTTTTTGCAGTAAACTCGTTACCAATAGCTTTAAATATTTTTTTTGCCTTTGTTATATGTTCACCTTAAATGGCAGGCTGTATAACATTCAATATGTGTGTATATATATATAAATCATTTATTATTAAAATATGCAAAAAGGTACATAAATTGGAATCATACTAATGCAAAAAAAAAAAAAAAACACACATGGTATGTGTGTGTGTGTGTGTGTGTGTGCATGTAAAGGTAACTTGGTGGACAGGTCAGAGTACATACATAAAGCACAATAACAGTCAATAAATGAAGCAAGTACCACAGATAAAAACAATATCAGCGATATATCACAAAAAACCATTCACTAAATATATCTTGATATTTATAAATGAAAAGAGAAAATGCATCAAAATGCTATAAGATGCATTTAATTTATTAACAGCACATATATTTCTTACAATTGCAACACTGATATACGTTCGATCCGCCCTATATATATATATATATAGAAATAAAAAGATAATGCAATTAAATTCAAGCAAAAGATTGCAAAAATAAATTACAACTTTTTTAAAATTTGTATTTAATATTTTTCTATACAATATATATATTTGGCTATACTGATTTTTAGACAGATACCGTAAGTTATTTTGTTAGATAAGCTCCAGATTTGTTTTCAGTACTGACTAATCTAATGTATATGCACAAATATAATATTGTATAGCTTCCTATTAAAATATACATTTAAAAGAGCGATTTGTAAGGGGTGTACTTGTATATGGTTAACACTGTGTATATGTGTGTCTGAACCCACCCACCCACCCACACACACACACACACACACACACACACACATATACACACACACACATATACATACATACATATACATACATGCATATACATACATGCATATACATACATGCATATACATACATGCATATATATATATATATATATATATATATATATATATATATATATATATATATATATATATATATATATACATACATATACATATATATATATATATATATATACATACACACACACACACACACACACATATATATATATATATATATATATATATATATATATATATATATATATGTATGTATAAAGACACTCCCATATTTATAAGTAGAACTCATTCAAAAAATTTCAAAGCGTCTTTTTGTTCAACAGAAGAAAAAATGAATTAGGATGAATAAAATCTTGTTCATTGTTGGTTCATGTTAACAAATAAAATACAATATTAATCTAATGTTACCATATAATAGTTGTTGTGCTTGTCATAGACAAGTCAGAATGGGTGCTTATTAATCAAACATTTACCTAATTGAAAATGCAAGGAATAGTTTACAACAACAAGAAAACCCTGTCATCATTTCTACTCAACCTCCACTTACTCCAAACCGGTTTCTTCTTTAAGTATCAATAAAAAAAATTAAAAAAAAACACCAAACCGGTTTGAGTTTCTTTAATTTGTTGAACACAAAGGCAGATAGGCTATATAAAGATTGTTGGCGAGAAACACAGCCGACTTCCATATTTTTTGTTTCGAAATCCACTGTTAGCTGTTATATGTTCTGAGAATGAGTTTGGTGAGATTTTTATTTTTACTTTTTGGGGGGTAAACCTATTCAATTAGTAACTGAAACCGTAGACGCATCTAACTTTCTCATGACACTGAAACTAAAATCAAGTTGTTTAAGAAATGAATGTGAAAAAGGCTTGCCATAAAAACCCGTGTATGGGAAATAAATTAAAATATCTTCTTTGTAAAGCTGTCATCGGACGTGTGAAACAACAATGGTGTCGTGTTCATTGGATCTTCGGGCGGTGGTTTTATCAAATAGGCTCTCAGGGAGGTGGGATCATCAGCAGATCTCTGCCTGAACGCGAAGACTTTCTCCACAAAACTCCGCCAGATGAAGAGCGTTTCCGGCGAGCGCCTGCGTGCCAGAACGCGGACAACAACCTCGAGCTGCTCTTATGAGGGTTTGCTTTGTTTGCTGTGAAACTCTGGCAACGGTGAGTGTTTTTTTTTTCTTGAGTCTTGTTTGAAAGAAAGTGGCTGCTGTTGTTTGTGTTCTGACAACCGAGCCAAACTGTACAGCGTGTATTACATCGGGCAAATGAACTCGCTGTGTATCTGCAGCAGATACTTACAGGTTTGTCGAAAAATATATATACAAGTATCATTATCCACAGCAACTAATGTTACTTATTAGGAAATAGCTTTCTTTAATTAATAAAACTCGCATTTAGGGACCGTAATGAGTGTAATTTCTCGGTTTACTCTGGGGTTAGTTTCTAATTTGCGTTGAAATCAAAACCAGCGTAATGTGTTTGCGTTGAAGGCTAGTCGGTCTCATATCGTCTCTGTGTTAAAGGTGAACTTTTTCACCGGTGCTGCACTTATAAGGACAGATAACACTGTTGTCCTCATGTCTTCCTGTGTTTTAGGGCTGGAAAACAATAAAAGACGCGCCTCGCCAATAAACAACGCTGGCACGTTGTTTGATATGTTAAAAAGCATAATTTCAAATGGCGGTGAACTGAGCTCATCACCAGGATTACAACATCTGGGAAGACCCACCAAACGGGCAGATGGACTTCTGAAGAGGAGGGATTTACAGTGTTTTCTTTAATAATGGTATTTAACAGCTGTGAGGCTTTTGACAATCCAGTGTCTTACTTCTACAACAGGACTGGCAAGCCTATTAGTCCAAACTGGCGCACTCATGACTTTGTGGTGGTCGGTCTGGGGCTCCCCATTTGTGTTTTCATCATCCTGGCCAATATGTTGGTCATAGCGGCTATAATTGTCAACCGAAAGTTCCACTTCCCAATTTATTACCTTTTAGGAAACATGGCGGCCGCTGACCTCTTCGCTGGCATCTCGTATTCGTATCTAGTGTTCCACACAGGACCCTGGACCATCAATTTGACCATTAAGGAGTGGTTTGTGCGTGGGGCATTGATTAACATGAGCCTCACCGCCTCGGTGGTCAACCTGTTGGCAGTGGCTGTTGAGCGCCATCAGACCATCTTCACCATGCAGCTCCACACCACGATGACCCGCCGGCGAGTGGTCATGCTGATAGTCACCATCTGGGTGGTGGCAGTTGTCATGGGTTTGGTGCCCACCATGGGCTGGAATTGTGTGTGTGACCAGTTAGGTTGCAGCACGGTTGCGCCACTGTACTCGCGCAGCTTCCTAGTGTTTTGGGCCATCCTCAACCTCATGGCCTTCTTCATCATGGTGGCCGTTTACACGCACATCTTCATCTACGTCCGCCGGCGAAGTCAAGTTATGTCCCCTCACACAGATCAGCCCTCAAATAATCAGACGGTTATCAGCCTCATGAAGACCATGTCCATGATACTGGGTAAGGCCTTGACTTTTGGGCTACTGGAGTTTATTATTTTTGTGTGTAGTTTAGATATTTACTGTTATTTTTTGCTTAATTCGAAACATTTTAAAAAGTCAATTTTTGAATGTTATTCAACTTGTAGTGTTGTATGTTCAGGCACAAAAAAAGGGATGGGACACCCAACCAAAGAAAATTCTGCCATCGTTTACTCATTTTTATGTTTTTTTTTTATGTTTTTTTTTTTTTACTATTTTTCTTCTGTTGAACAAAGGAAGATATACTGAATAATGTTGGAGAATAACTTACTTGAAGACTTATGCCATGGTCACAGTAGAGTTTGAGCATGCGTATTTCTGTCAAACGGCGCTGCAAAAAGATTAAACAAGATAATTAGTAGGGCCAGACAGAATCTGCTGACATTTTTTTGTCTATTTCTGCACAGAATTTTTGTAAAAAAAAAATCTATGAATTTATGCAGAATTAATTGGGGAGTATCATAATTAAACTTAATATTTAAAATAAAAAAAAAATAATACAGTTCGTTTCCCGGCTCAAGGCCGATCCTTCCCTTCACTCTGATCTTGTTTGAAATCTCTGCTGTTCCACATCATAATTAAGGTTAAAACCCCTAAATGTATACAAACCTATCAGAGTATAATAAAATGAGAGCCAATGTGAATATTTATATAAAGAATTATAGCAACCAACAAGCTGAATCTGATGATTTTAAGTAACTAAATAATCACATAATTTAAGTTTTTTTTAAACATATTTCTGATTTCATAACTGTTGTGAAACTTATTAGTAAAGCAGGTTATTAGTATTAGTAGAGGGTTATTAGCATAGTTCAGGGGTGTTCAAGTCTGTTCCTGGAGGGCCACAGCTCTGCACAGTTCAGTTCCAACCCTGCGTCAATACACTTACCTGGGGCTTTAAAACAAGCCTGAAAGACTCGATTAGTTTGATCCGGTGGGTTTAATAAGGGTTAAAGCTAAACTGTGCAGAGCTTTGGCCCTCCAGGAATTGACTTTCAACCTTCCCTGAACTATGCTAATTATTTTCTACTAATACTAATAACTTGCTATACTAATAAGTTTCACAACAATTATGAATTTAGAAATATCTCAGTTTTAAAAAAACATTTAATTATTAAAAACTTAAATTATGAACTGAAATTGACACTTGCAGTGGGTTATAGGTGTATCAGCTCAGTGATATAGGATGGGGCAAGACCATTAGGAGTCTTTTAAAACAAAAAAGAATCTTCAACTCTATTCTATATAAAAAAATAGTAAAAAATATTTTAAACATCTGTACAAAGAGGTGATGTTTTGATCTTCGATTTGTCTCACGCATTTGTCATGATGCAATTGTGCAGGTCAGAGTTCACCAAGCTTAAAATTTTCAGCGCAGCGAACAGCAAAACTTGTCGCACTAGCTTGCATTTTCGGTCTGTCGCATTTATATGCGAATGGAAGTCGATTGGGCTAAAAGTGCAGTGTGACCACGGCTTATCATCTTATTATTTTATACACTAGTTCAGAGGTGCCAAAAGTAGGTCCCGTGGGCCAAAGTTGGCCCATTGTAACCTTTGATTTGGCCCACCATCCCATCTGAGAGGAGAGTGAGAATGATGGAGAGGGTTGGAGCGAATGCCTTTAACACAGAGCAGAGATCGTCATCACCTTTTTTTGTTTGGTCTTTATTTTTAGGGTTCGTTTGTTGAATTTACGTAATATTGCATCTACATGCCAACTACAAGCATTATAAGACTGTTAGATTGGGGTTAGGGTTAGTGTAAGTTGACATGTTCATGTAAATTCTTTTAGTCAGTTAAATATCTGTTGAAGGAGCAGTATGAACATATATTAAGCAGACAGTCTACTCCTACTCAAATGGACCATCAAAATAAAATGTTACCGTTTGTTTTATTGTTTCCAATAAATGTTGTAAATGAATCTGATTTTTGAATATGTAAATACTGTCACTCGACGGACAGATGAGTATACTGTCACTCGACGGACAGATGAGTATACTGTCACTCGACGGACAGATGAGTATACAGAAGGCATCAGTGAGCAAATCAATGCAGAAACTAGTGTAATTCTTTTGTAAATTAGATTTTGCTGTAACTGTAATAAGTTTATTGTAAAATGTAAAAAATAAAAATAAATACTGTGTAAGGGGCTGATCACACCGAACGTGCTTTTCCATTCTGAAAACATGACTGACGTTCTAAAAACGCAACTGACGTAACACTTTTTCTGCTCAAAGAATTCACTCTTTTTTTCAAATGTGAGCGCATGGCATGCAACAGCAAAAAAGGAAAGGCACAGCAGGTGGTTAAAAATGCAAGTCGTGCAGAGTGGATAAGCAGCACGCAAAACGTTCGTGGCCATTGGTAAACCATTCAAAAAAGCTGCCTCTCAACGCAAAAAGCACCTTTAGTGTGATCGGCCCTTTAGTTAATATAAAGCATATAAATTAGGAAATTACCAATGGTGACAATATTTACCTTCGGCCCTTTAGCCTCGATTAAGTTTGGTATTTGCCCTTTCCTAAGAAAGGGTTTGGGCAGCCCTTCTTTAGATATTCCATATCACTAGCTATGTTTTCATCTTAAGAATTAAATATGCAAAACTGGAATATTGCATAAAACATTTGAGAATGAAGCACCATGTCTGTATAATGAGACAAATCGAATGAAACGTAATAAACATAATAAAACACGACCTCCTGATAAACTGAGGCCAAATATCAAAAAGAAAAAGGTCATTTCCTGCAGTAAGAGAAGCTACTGTAAGCAACTGTGCACTGCTGCCCACGACAGTTCTGGAGGTACTGTAATAATGCTGAACCCCTTTATGATAATGGACTTTGGCGAAGACATTTAGCAATGGCCAAAACAGCATTACAGATGTGTATTAAGTATACATTCGGTCAATGTGTTTCAATCATAGCTTATGTGCATTTCTTAAATATTCTAAAATGTTTGTTCTTTGTTGTCAGCATAATTATGTTTTAAAAATTCATGCATATTTGCCTTTCAGCAAGCATATATTTATGCTATTGACCTTATTCATTTCAAAACTTCTGATTCAGTTGCCTATGAGAGAAAATACTAGGAATAATTAAACGCAAAAAAGTCAAACTAATTGCTCTACAAACAAGTTTGTCCATAACTATACTGACAAAGCAGAATCACTTAAGAAAATATCAGCCTGCAACATTAAGCAGCACAACAAGCTGTTTTTAATGTCTAAAAATGAATGGAAGTGAATGAGACCAGAAGTCTCAAGCCGAAGAGATTCAAATGGCTGCGCCCGCTCGTTCGCGAACAGTAAGGTCAATATTCGGATATGTGCATAAAAATCATTGGATGGAAACAGCTACTGACTTCAGGAGTATTGTTTTTGTTCTTACCATGAATGTCAAGGACTGCTTTATTCCAACATTCCAGTTTTGTGTTCAACAGAAGACAGAAACTCGTAAAATTATAGAGTGGGGGGTAAGTGGGGGAATGTTTTTGAGTGAAGTAGCCCTTAACTTGTTTTCTAGGGAAAATAAAGTATATCTATAATCAGCTCAAACGAGTTTATCAAACCGGTTTGGCTGCTCTAACATCCGCTTGTTTTGTACCTTTAACTGGAGCACAAACTGCTTATTTAGTGTTCTCTGTTATGATTTTCGCTTCAGACTTTTGGATTCATTTAGTAATAGCTGTATTAGGAAATAATGCATCATTTGGACTTGTGCTGTTGTGAGTAACACAAAATCAGGGTATCTGCGGGGTCTTAAATTTCAAATTCTAAATTTTAGGCTCTAGAGTCCTAAATTGTGTTGTAGGTCTTAAATCATTTTAAACAGGTCTAAATTTTCATGTCCATGTAAAGCCACTCAATCGATCCAACACACATCAAATCACCAACAACACGACTCAATAAAACTATATAATGTATAATTTTATTTATTGTTTATTTGACATGGACAGCTAGGGTCTGCTTGATTTGAAACATTGTTTCAAATATGTGACCAAAAAATTACTGATTAAAATTTTCTTATTGACGTGGAAAGAAAATAGATATTTTTTTTTTGCTGGGCCATTAAGAAAATCCCTAGCGTTTAATGCTATACAAGCCTTAAGTTTCATTCTTAATGGTCTTAAATTCTTAATTTTACTTGGTGAAACCTGCAGAAACCCTGAAATTGAAATGCTTATTATTAGTGGTGTAACATCACAAATCTCATGGTTCAGATCACATTGTTTTTTTTTTTTTGTCGTGGATCTGACCATTTTTTAAATCAGCCAAAAAGAGGAGACAAAAACAATACTGCAAGAAACTTTTGGTTTAAACAAACAGAACTTAGCTGTAATTTGATTCAAAATAAAATGAAGAAATAATCAGCTGAATAAAAATAAACTGTAAAATATTCAGTACTGTGAAAAATTCACTGTTCCTACGACTGTTGCTGATAACACTAAATGTTAAAATCTAACATTATAATATGAACAACCCATATTTATTTTTAGTCTCATTTTCAATAAATGTGTGTCAGTGACAGAAAACCCCTTTAATAAGCTAAGAAACCCACCACATCCTGAATATCCTACCACAATTTCCATCATCATTTTATAGGCTTATTAAAAAAGAATTCAACTTTGAAAATCGAGAACTCTGCTAAGAAGAAAAGGAGAGCTAAGCTTTTTCTGTCGTTAATTTAAGGAAGCTCTGAAGTTTCATTCGCTAAGATCGCTGTTGGCCCATAAATAATATCAATATATATATATATATATATATATATATATATATATAAAAAGATCAAAGTTGTGGTAATCTTTTTTGAATCATCCTGTATTTTACAGGAAAGCCTAAATGCTTTCATACATGCGATTTTGAATGATATGAGAAGTGATCTCTCTGTGAACGTTACAAATTTAGGATTAATCTACAAGTAAAAAAATAAAAGTATTAATCTGGGGGTCGTGTGTTTCAAACTGTCGGTTGTGATCAATGCGAATCATGGATCAACTGTAACCCATTACACCCCTACAAATTATACATTAAAAATCAAATAAACTGATGATGTGCACAATTATCCTAAAAAAATATGTAAATGTATACAAACATATTAGAGTACAATATTAATATATATATATATATATATATATATATATATATATATATATATATATATATATATATATATATATATATATAGAATTATAGCAACCAACAAGCTGAATCTGATGATTTTGAGTAACTAAATAATCACATAATTTAAGTTTTTTTTAAACATATTTCTGAATTCATAACTGTTGTGAAACTTATTAGTAAAGCAGGTTATTAGTATTAGTAGAGGGTTATTAGCATAGTTCAGGGGTGTTCAAGTCTGTTCCTGGAGGGCCACAGCTCTGCACAGTTTAGTTCCAAACCTGCGTCAATACACCTACCTGGGGCTTTAAAACAAGCCTGAAAGACTCGATTAGTTTGATCCGGTGGGTTTAATAAGGGTTAAAGCTAAACTGTGCAGAGCTTTGGCCCTCCAGGAATTGACTTTCAACACCCCTGAACTATGCTAATTATTTTCTATTAATACTAATAACTTGCTTTACTAATAAGTTTCACAACAATTATGAATTTAGAAATATCTCAGTTTAAAAAAAAACATTTAATTATTAAAAACTTAAATTATGAACTGAAATTGACACTTGCGGTATAAATCATTTGCAATATGTGTTATAGGTGTATCAGCTCAGTGATTATAAGATGGGGCAAGACCATTAAGAGTCTTTTAAAACAAAAAAGAATCTTCAACTCTAGTCTAAAATGCACTGGCAACCAATGAAGCAAAGCTAACATGGGGGAAATGTGGTCATGTTTGCAAATACCAGTTAACAGATGTGCTGTAGCATTTTGCACTATTTGCAAATGCGCAATAGCTGACTGCTACTCCCCACATACAGTACATTACAGTAATCTAACAGAGTGGTCACAAAAGCATGGATTACTCTCTCAAACTGTTGTCTTGCTATATATTAGCTTTAGTGTATCTAGTTGTCTTAATTGAGAAAAGCTAGATTTTACTACCGCTCCAATCTTACTGTCAAATTTAAAATCGGAGTCAAATTACACTGTAGGCTTAAAGCTGCAGTAGGTGGTTGTCTTCAGAAACAATTTGTATTGTGCTGGTTGAAACTCAACATTCAATAGTAATGATTAAAGTAAAAGATCTAAATGTATTTGTATATTCTGGGTAAAGCATACGACTAAAAAAATGTTCATCCTAATATTGTCGGTTGATCATTTCCATAATTCTAATAAGTAGCCAAAACTGTCTGTCAGCGTAAGCTTGATGACTATTTCCAGTTTCATGAGACCTTTTACAGCATAGATAATGTAGATTTTGATTTAGTTAAACAACAAAACATAGCGCTTTACCACCTAGCCTGCTTAACTGAGGTGGTTGGAAGTTGGTTTTATATTCACATTGGGTCATTTTTTGAACAATGACAGCCTGTGACGCGCTCCCGATAGTTTACCATGCTACTCTGAATTTTCGGTCTGAAATAGGACGCAAGTATGGCTTAGTAATAAGTGTAATTCCTGCACACTGCCAGTCAACCACTAAGCACACTGTTGCTTTAGCAAAACACATGAAATATTGCACTGACGTTTTGCTTGCTGCACAACTGAAAACGTGCTAGATATAATAGTTTTTTTTTTTAAATTAGAATTATAGTATTATACTGTATAGTTTTCTAACTGGTGACTGTAATGATGTAGTGGCTCTCTGTCATCTTTAATGTGCTACTTTTGATCGACAGGGGAGGGACTGTGTTTTCACGACGATATTATTCTAACAGACAGCATTTTGGAAGATCACATACTGCACCTTTAATATGAATACAATAAACAAAGTTTTACCAAAAAAAAAAAAAAGAAGAAGTACTAGATGTACTAAAATTTAATTTAAATTGTAAAAATGAATAAAATTTAATGAATACTATTAATAATATTAAACTGACTCCTTTTTGGACTTTTTGAATGTCTAATTATCTATAAATAAAAATGATATCCTAGAAGGAATATCCTTGTTCATTTGTGACACCTAATGCCTTAAAGAATTGAACTGAAGTTTAGGATGTTCCTGTTACCAGCTGAATGCTATTTTTGGCTCATTATATTGTAAATGATTTAGAGCGTCTGCATAGTTTTGTGCAAATATCACCTCATGCTCTCTGATTTTTATCTGCAGAAATATACACGAGTTCTAACAGCATGAAAGGGGCTGCATAGTGATGCATTTGTTTTGCATACTGCTGTGGCTTGCCCTCATAAACCAATCTGTATCCGACCCCGCACTCATCAACACTTGGTGTGTGTGTGTGTGTGTGTGTGTGTGTGTGACCTATTTTCTCCTCAGGTGCCTTTGTGATCTGCTGGACTCCAGGTCTGGTGATCCTCCTTCTGGACGGTCTGAAGTGCATCGAATGTCACGTCCTGAAGTATGAGAAGTACTGCCTGGTTCTGGCCGAGTGCAACTCTCTGGTGAACCCCATCATCTACTCTTTTCGGGACGAGGACATGAGGACCACCTACAAACGCATTCTCTGCTTCCCTTGGAGAAGAATGCGGCCGCACGAGGGGCCTTCTGGCATCCGCTTCGAGCCTGTGAAAACAGGGGCTCCCCCTGAGAAAAACAGCCAGAACTCCAGCAGCCCAGAGGCCGCTCCTCCACAAAGCCCATTGTCTTGATGGAAAAACCATTTCTCCCTGTAAATAAATGACTTTGTATTTGCTTAGTGAAATGAGTACAAAGAGTAAATAATACTTCATTTTTGATAGCTTGTTTTGGTGCGTGTTTTTGTCTCCGTCTGACAATGGATGTATCGGGCCCTTTTGTGGGGGTCAGTTAATCCGCTGCCCACAGGAAGTTTCTCTTTTCCCAAAACACAAGGCATTAATATTCAGAAAAAAAGCAGTTTATGGGACATTTTGTTGTGCTAGGAACGAGATCAGAAAAATAGGTGCCCAATTCTGAGTGCTTTTTTTCCTTTGCACTTTCAAAATGTCCTTTTTATTGCCCATATCAGGCAGGGGTGCCCAAACTTGGTCCTGGAGGGCCGGTGTCCTGCATAGTTTAGCTCAAACTTCCTTCAACACACCTGCCTGGAAGTTTTAGTATAGCTAGAAAGAGCTTGATTAGCTAGTTCAGGTGTGTTTTATTGGGGTTAGAACTAAAATATGCAGGACACAGGCCCTCCAGGACCAAGAATTACTGGCATAGATGGAGGTCAGTGGAAGCTCACTTTTATTTGAAATGAAGTCGTTTAAAGCTTTGCTGCTGCCAGTCTCTCGTAGGGGGAATGAGGCTTAAATGGTGTAAGTATTAAATAACAAGTTTACTTTAATAATCGGGATGATGACCTTATTCAACCGTTAAAATGAAGTGTGGAATGTTGGAAACTTCACTCACTTAACGGCCGCAGCTTTAAGCTGCAGTCACACTATAGTTTGTGTGTGAAATTCTGTCGTACGGCTCTGCGAAAAGGGCAGAATTAAACAAGATTATTAGACATTAAAAAAAGCGAGCGATTGCTCAATGTTTTAAATTCCTGTCCAGAGAGGTCAGGTTTTGATCCTCGATTGGTCTCACGCAGTCAAGTGATGCCGCAGGTCAGAATTCACCAAGCTTCAACTTTGCATTGCAGCAACCTGCAAAACTTGACGCATGACCCTGCGTTTCCAGTCTGACACATTCGCGTGCGTATGAATGTAAGTCTATGGGGAGAAAAGCCAAGTGTGAATGCAGCTTTAGTCACGTAGCAGAAGGGGTGGAACTTTTGGGCACTGATGTTGGATTACTTTAAAATATTGCACATAGGCTATATCGCCTCGCGATGGTGAATCCTGTTATACTCTAGACAGGTTCTTTTGTTAGTTTGGCCATTTATTCTACTAGTTTGGCAACAGTCAAACATCATCTGGAAGACAGTTTGAAAAGAACGTTAGTGTTTCATTTGGGTCAACACTAAATTCATATACTCTGCTGTTCAGTGTGTAAGTGCATAGTGAAACATTTGGGATGCCATTTATGTCTCCTTACACATCTTGTTTGGTACACATCTGATTTAGATCATCAGCACAGACTGAAAAAACCTGTAAAGGGTGTGACAGACAAAGGAGACATCCAAAACATGCAGTGCTGGTGGTCCTTCATGAACGTGGTTGAGAAACACAGATGTAAGACAATAAATAGATCAATGTTAAGTCTAGAAGGTTGGGACAGCCCACATGGAGCTCAAGTCTCACCCACTCTGAGCTGACCTATTTGGTGATAGCTCTGACCTTTGTTTATACCCTTCTCGACCAATAATACGACTGCCTGGTACCGCTCACTTATGGGGGGTGGTGGGGGTTTACCACAGTGTACAAGATCTACTACTAAGTACCACTTCAGCTGGGGTTCCAAGCGAGTAGTTACCAAAATGTGATGTGTAAACACTGCAGATGGTTGTTTGGTGAGAAAGAATAGTCACTATGCTCTAATTTGTAATTCGCTTCGGACAAAATCATCTGCAAAATCACTAAATGTACCCGTATCATTGAACTTGCAACGAGACTTGAAGTAAACTGCCATTAACAGCCATTGTGGGATCATTTGAATCTGCTGGACGCAGCATAAGATGGCTGTACTGAGGTCAGCAGATGAGATGCAGATGTTCCTCTCACTGGTGTCAGAGCAGCGGGTCCTGCATATGGGGAGAGATCCAGAATGATGTCACTATAGTAGAGGCAGCGCAACTGAGTCTTTATTGCGCTGTAATGAAGCCACCTCATGAAGCCAAGTGGCCTGTCATTAATTATTCCTCACATAATCCCACCCACTTTAAAGCAGCATGAAGCTGGAGTGGAAAAGCAAACAGCCAAAGTAAAGAGAAGCTAGTCTTCTGAAATCCACTTCATTTACTCACAGTGATCTTGAGGAGAAGCTAGATAATTCCTGGTCATCTTTAATTAGTGTCTAATATATATATATATATATATATATATATATATATATATATATATATATATATATATATATATATAAAGTAAAAGTATGCGGGCCTTCAATAAAGTTCAAGTTGCCACTACACTCAACGGCCACTTTATTAGGAACACCTTATTAGTACTGGGTTGGATATACTTTTGCCTTCAGAACAGCCTTAATCCTTTGTGAGATAGATCAAACAAGGTACTGAAATATTCCTCAGAGATTTTGCTCCATATTGACATGAAAGCATCACACAGTTGCTGCAGATTTGTGGGCTGCACATCCATGCTGTGAATCTCCTGTTCCACCACATCTCAAAGGTGCTCTATTGGATTAAGATCTAGTGACTGTGGAGGCCATTTGAGTACAGTGAACTCGTCATGTTCAAGAAACCAGTCTGAGATGATTCGCGATTTATGACATGGTGTGTTATCCTGCTGGAAGTAGCCATCAGAAGATGGATACTCTGTGGTCATAAAGGGATGGACATGATCAGCAACAATACTCAGGTAGGCTGTGGCATTGACACGTTATACAATTGGTACTAATAGGCCCAAAGTGTGCCAGGAAATTACTACCATTACACCACCAACACCAGATTGAACCGATAATGCAAGGCAGGATGGATCCATGCTTTTGTGTTGTTGATGCCACATTTCCAAAGCCATGTCTACATCCCTGAATGCATTGAGTTGCTGCTATGTGATTGTCTGATCAGATTTTTACGTTAGCGAGCAATTGGACAGGTGTACCTAATAAAGTGACCGGTGAGTATATCATATTAAAGCTGCGGTCACACTAAAGTTTGATAATGTGAAATTCTGTCGTGCAGAGCTGCGAAAGGGGCGGGATTAAACAAGCTTATTAGACATTTTTAAAAAGCAAGCAATTGCTCAATGTTTTAAATTTCTGTTTAGAGATGTCATGTCTTGATCCTCGATTGGTCTCACGCAGTCAAGTGATGCGATTTCGCAGGTCAGAGTTCACCAAGCTTGAACTTTGCACCGCAGCAACCTGTGAAACTTTACACATGACCCTGCATTTCCGGTCTGACGCATTCGCGTGGGTATGAATTAAAGTCTATGGAAGATAAAGCCCAGTGTGACCGCAGCTTAAGATTGTACTTATTTTTTTAATTCACCCACAACTAAAACCCCACCTATAGTGATTAGTCAAACCTTTAAAGAGATAGTTCACCCAAAACTGACAATTCAGCCACCATTCCCAGACCCACATTGAATCTGTGCGCAGATTTCCAGATTTTGTAGCCCATCAAGTCTAGGTAAATGTTTAAAATTATATCATTTCAATTGTTATATTAATTTCAGCATTATTACTGACTAATATACAAGTGTGTACATGATTTATGTACAATGAAGTTTGTAAAGTAACATTTTCTGACTTACGCTGGATGCAGCGATAAGACTTGCTTTGTTTACCAAAGGAGATCTAATTAGATTTCCACTGAAAATGGCTTAAAACATTACAATTTATTTACAATTTAATTTTAAAAGTTACTGTACTGCCAAAATCTTTCCGCATTATCCACAGATTTTATTATTCATTGCAGCTCACTAAAAATATCCACAGATTGTCTTGCTTATTACAAAGCTTGTTACAAAAAAATCAGTAACTGAATATCCGTGGCTTCTTTTCTCTAACATTCTTCAGTATGTCTCATATATTTATCTAAAGTTTAGAAACAATTTGAGTTCAGAAATGATTTTAAAATGTGCGGTGAACTGTCCCTTTAGGAGAAAGTGCTGAAAATGAAACTCCTCTTACCAAATTGGGTTTCAGCTCCAGAAGATTCACGAGTCTTCAGTGAGAACCATCACTTCCTCCATTTTGAAAGGTCAGCCTAAAACCAATAGTGCTCAAAACTCTCCACATTCACGGATTTTGAAGGGTTAAAGTGATTAACGCTTTGCATCATTCTTTGCATGTTTAATTAGTGATGCAGATTATGCTTAAGTGTGGTCCAAGAATTTTTTTGGCCTCCTGCCTACACCCTTCATCCCTTTGAAGCGCTCAATTGTGTAGTTAAACCATTTAAAGCACGTGTCAAAGTCAGTTCCTGGAGGGCCGCAGCTCTGCACAGTTTAGTTCCAACTCTAATTAAACACTCCTGATCAAACTAATTGAGTCCTTCAGGTCTGTTTGAAACCTACAGGTAAGTGTGCTGAAGCAGGGTTGAAACTAAACTGTGCAGGGCTGAGGCCCTCCAGGAACTGACTCTGACACCCTTGCTTTAACGTGATTAGGGCACAGGAATGAGCATTTCCGAATGGAACGCAGCCCCTATTCTACATGTGTGGTAAACACAGGTGCACTCATGTCAGAATGACTGTAATTACTACATTCCAACAAGCACAAAGCCTTCAGGTCTTTTAAGAGCTCTTAATTACAACTTGTGATCTGTGAATTTTCCACCAATTGGCCACTGCAGATTGATTGAGGCACTGTTTTGCACCATCGTTAGTGTCGTCACAAGAGCACAATTCAGTACAGCTTTCCGCTGAATGTTTATCTTCAAATTACGGTAATTATTACATGACCTGATTACATGACATATGCTCTCAGCACCTCTCATACAGTGACTTGCATGTTTAAATGTACAGTATTCATTAAACAACCAATGAGATTCTGAAGTGTGCTCTAATAGACGCTATATTATGGCATGAGGCTTCATGTAGACTTCCATAGTATTTGTTTCCTACTATGGATGTCTGTATACTAGCTTCCCACATAGTTTTTTTTTTTTTTTTTTTTTTTGCTTACTCCAGTCAAGAGATTTTAGATTCAGCAAATGTAACTTCATTTCTCTTGAGAACTCAAATTCAGATATTTTAAATGAACTGAAGAGAGCTCTCATCCTCTACAGACAGCAAGGGTCCTGCTAAAGGGCTTCAAACGAAAGTCCAGACACTGTAACTTGATCTAATTGAGGATACAAGCCAACAAAAAGTGTTTCGTTGCACAAAAGTGATCTTGTATCAATATAGCTGAAGTAACATGAAATGTTTTTGTTTACTTTTCTGGCCTTTGAATGAATCATTTAACTTTTTTTAAAAGTTTCATTCATATACACTTTGAGTAGAGACTATTGCTGTCTATGGAGGATCCTCTAAATTACATTGGTCTCAAACTCAACTCCTGGAGAGTCAGGGCCTACTCACACTATGTCATCCGTACCATGCCCAGGCCCGTTTCCCGGATCGTTTGAGAAGTGTGAGTGCGCTGAATCGGGCTCAGACACGGTTCACTTGGCTGGCCCTGGCCCAGTTGGAAGAGGTGTGCCTGAGCCCGGTTCACTTGGGCCAAAGCCCGAAACTGAAAGCGAAACGTGACTTTTAAGGGACTGTTTCATATAGATTAATTAATCATTCTTAATATTCAATAAAAGCAAACTGCCGTAGTTTATTAAAGATGCAAACTCCTCACTGCACGACAGCTGCACACCTTCAGCAAACCTCCTCATTCCTGCAGCACGAGGGCTTTATGATTGTTTATAAAGCGCCAAAAGTGGCGGATCTGTTCGGCGAAATATCTGACTGCGTGTCCCCGCATCCCTATGGACTGTTTGGCAAAATATTTGACTGCATGTCACTGCATATCAAACCGACTGAAACGATATAACTAGTGAAATCTCCACTGTGCTGCTGAGTGAGAGCGCTTCTCACTGAAAAGCGCAGCATCGATGACGCAAGCGTGCCCAGGCCCGATTGTGGTGTGAGTGCGTGCCGTCGGGGGAGACGGGAGGGGGGACAAGCGTGCTATGGCCAGGTTAGAGACAACTGTACCTAGTGTGAGTACGGCAGCACAGCTCTGCATAGTTTAGCTCCAACCAACTCCAACTCACAACTGCTTAATAGTCTAGTAGTTTTGAACACCTTGATTATTTGAATCAGTTGTGTTTGATTACGATTGGAGCAAAACTGTGCAGAGCTGCAGGCCTTCAGGAATCCAGTTTGAGACCTGTAATCTAAAATATCTTTATTTGTATGAACAAAAGTCTAAGGAGGATTGTAAAGACATGAGGATGTTAACGCTTTAAAACTGGCCTTAAAATACTAGTCTAAAAAAGAAAGAGGGCCCTGTCATAAGCACACCACATTCTGCAGGCCCAAACAAGCCCTTGTTTTCTTGATCATGTAGTAATGATTATAAATAACTGACTCTACATCTGCTGTAATGTTTGCAAATAGAAAGCTCCACCTGAAACGATGGCCTCATTTTGTTTTTGTGGTTTCTAATTTTACTTTGTGCAGACTGCGGGGCTTTGTTTCATTTCAGCAGGCCGAGTTGTTACAGAGCGCGTAATCAATTTGAGATGAGGAGAAAAGGTCTGATTTATTGTGATCCTCATATTATTGTCCTTACGCCGCATAAATATTCAGACAGGGCGACACAATTGGCTGAAAGATGGCAGACTCATTCATAACCGCCGTAACGAGATCATTTTACGCATGGCAACATGCAAATCAGCCCCTTAATGAACAGCAACAAGGAAAGAACTACAGGCTCAAAAGCACACTAGATTATTTTATTAGTTTTTGTTTTTCTAATAAGGAACACTACAATTTTCTCATATTTCTTTTTTTTCTCTCTCACTAGAACAGTTCTAAAGTTGAGGTATAAAAGGAGTTTATACAGACTACCAAGTCTGAAAATGGGGGGGTTTATATACAAGTGAAATGGAGAGAGGAGAGGTAGAGAGGAGGGAGAGAATGGTAAATACAGAAGGAAGCGTGTACTACAATTCTACTAAAATAATAATAATAATCGAGAAATAAAATGCTGATGGCGTTTGAGTCGGTGCTGCGGATTCAAACTCCGATTACAATCCAAAATATCCCAGAGTTGTGTGACAAATTGTCCAACATGTAGTGTATCGTATCGTCTGTAGCGTAGCTTATGCAGATACTCAAATAAGACGGTTGATCCTGTAAAATTTGTTTAACGGCACTTCAAACAAACGCCATCAGCTTTGACAAAACCACACAAACAAAATAACACTCGAGACTCCCGATCCAAATAAAAGGTAACTGAAACGCTAAAATGAATATTACAAAGACTAACAAATGTTACTCCAAAACCCCCCAGCGAGAATTTAAAAATAATAAAAAAGCAAAAGCATACAAAAAGAGAAAAATACACTGAAACATTCCACAATCTGTACAGTGACATCCATAGATGACTGATAGAAAAAAGAAAAGAAAGAAATTTTGGTGTAGTAATAGCATTAGTCGGAGATATCCATATGAAATGTTTCGAACTAATCTATAGAGGACACGGTGATGATCTTGAAGAAACGCTTGAAAAGCTCCTCAGAGTTTGTTTTTCCATGTGTACATATATAAACAAAACCCCAATTTACATTTCAACCTTATTTAGTCCTTTGTGTAATATATAGAATTTCCATTCATATATCAAAAACGCCCTGCTGCTTCCGCCCATAAAGAGAAAACTAAACGGAGAAACGTTTAAAAAAAAAAAAAAAAAAAAAAAAAAAAAAGGAAAAACACGGACAACTCGTTCTCTGTAACTTCGGGAAAACAAAAAAAATCCTCTACAAGCTGTGGTCCATCTGTTTCAAATCACAACACATCCAGTGCTTATTTTTGGTTAAATTTCGACAGGAGAAAAGCCCTTGTTGCTTGGCTATGTTAACTGATTACCAAAAAAACAGAGTTCCTTAGTTTAGTGAAATTGTAGGCAACAACAACAAAACGTAAAAATAAAAAAGGTCAAATTAAAGAGAGACAGCATGCTTTACCAAGAAACAGGTGCTTTCAATTGCACGTACAATACAATCAGTTCAAAAGCACGAGTGAGTGACGAGACAACCCAACCCTTAGAAAACACACAACACACACCAGTAAGACGAGAGGCCGCAGTGTGTGTCACAGATGAAAAAAAAAAAACGTGCTATTTAAAATACCACGGAAACCCTAGAGAAACCAAACCCCAGCCCGAAGCACTGGATCACCGGGCAGTATGACGTCCTTTTACTTGTTCACTTGTTTATTTGGTCTGTTACTTTCCCACCCTCTCCTTTTATAGTATATTTAGTTTTTTTTTTTTTGTTTATTAAAAAAACGAAAGGAAAAAACTAAAAGAAAAACGTAACGTTAGGCTAAATGGAATCACTAAAACATCTCAACACACCCTACATGCATGGAAGACAGTGGAATATCGCTTTTTTTTTAATCATCTTTCCCTTTAAAAATATTTCTAAACACCCACCCCCTGATCCCCGATCCAAACCAATACTCCAGCTTATCCGTCCATCTGACAGACCCCGTTTTACCAACGCGAGGTCTAGTTCTTATCAAGTCTTTTTATTTGGTGGCTGGTGCATCTTCGTGCTGCGGGCGAGGGAAACGAATACTGTGGCGAAAACTAAAAACGGAGAGCGGTCGCTCATTGCGTTCAGCTGAACTGGAAATCAAAGTGTTCATAGGTCCAGCGTACCTTTAACTCCTCTCCACCCGAACACCAGCTCAGTGTTTAGTGACAGGATTTGTGCTTAACGCAACGTAGCGGAAATCATAGTGAAAAGCAGACTGGATGGGCGGTCAGTTGTCTGAGGTTGCTCTTCGACGTGCGGAAAAGTGAAACAACCGTTGACAGCACTTTGGTACAAGCGAGGAGGGAGTAGTTGCGTAATCGCCATCGTAGAGGGGTTTGATCCAGGAGACGAGTCATGTTTTCAGACTCGTCCTCAAAGAACGAGACGAGTGTGTGTGTGTGTGTGTGTGTGTAGAGGTGGACAAGGACGGAGGAAGACCATTGTGTGTGTGTGAGATTAGCTGGAGGTGTCGGAGTGGATGCTGCCGGGTGCTCCTGGTGGAGAGGTGATGGAGGAAGGGTTGGTGTTGTCTTGCCAGCTGTTATTAGCCTGTGGAAGGAGTCACAGTGACAGTGTGAGGCAAAGCAGTACTTGTATAGAGATCTGACATACAAGCATTATATGCAAATTACACATATAACATACAACGCCGCGATGTACAATGTTACGATATACGCTACATATTTCAAAATATTGCTAAAATGGCCACTTGCATATATCTATATCTATCTATAGACATATATATATATATATATATATATATTTTCAGGCTCTGGAATTGCTTGGACCACAAAACTTGTTGCTTGAGAATATTATAACTTGTCTTATGTTGTGTGGCTAGATTTGAACTTAATCTACACGTAATTTACACTTTATCTGTGCGCACAGTAATCCGCAAATTTTTAGCCCATCATTGAGTCTATTTATTTACTTGTGTAAATGTGTGTAAATGGATATTTATTCAGTTTTAAAATATATTTCAGTAATATTATTGACTAATATGAAAATGTTTATATGATTTATTTACAATACAGTTTGTAAAGTCATATTTTCAGTATTTTATTAGAGATATTATATAAGAAATATATAATATTTAAAAAATATATATATAATATTTTTAAAAATTTTATGTAATTATTTTTTTTGTTACGATACTACCAAAATAATTCCACATAAAAACGCAAATTATCTAAAAAACTCTCTGCAAGATATGTCTTAAGTTAAAAGTAATATACCTACGCAACTTATGTCTTATGTTGTGTTTTTTTTTCCAATACTCAAATACATTACAACTTATGTTGCATGGTTCAATTATAACTCATGTCTTTTGGCAATACCTAAAATTACATAGTATGATTCAAAATGATTGATTTTTTTTTTTACGTCAAAAATCATTAATAAGTAAAGGTGCTCATGTTTCATAAACACATTTTGCACATTTCCTACTGTAGATGCATCAAAACTCAATTTGGGGTTAGTATTACGCATTGTTCTGAACTTAATTTCGACTATTTTTAATGTGATTTTCTCAGTGTCTGAACCATCAGATTCTAGATTTTCAAATAGTTGCATCTTGGCCAAATATCATCCTAACAAATACAGCAGTGGATGGCTTATTTATTTCAATATTTGATTAATACTTTTGTTAGATAATGCATACATCATTTTATTTATTCATGCCTGGTTTTGTGGTCCTTTTATATATTTGTGTACATACAAAGGAGGAAAATGTTTTGAATAAGTCATGCTTTTTTTTCAAAAAAAAAAAAAAAAAATCAAATTAAATCTGAAAAATATAGTTTTGTGTAATAATAAAATGAAACCAGAAGAATTTATTTTGTATTATATTATTCAGATTAGAGTCAGGGGATTGGCTGGGCCATTATACAGCTTGATTTTCTTTCTCTGAAATCATTTGAGAGTTTCTTTAGCTCTGTTTTTGATCATTAAATGCTGATGAAATGTCCACCCTGGTTTCAATTTAGATGTTGGATTGAAGCAGCTAATATTCATCTACAATAAGGAAGGGCAGAGGGTTGTTGAAGAACTATGAAATGAGAAATGAGAGATTTCAGCTGCTGTCTGGCTTTCACTGCCATTTTACACTTCCTTTTTATGCGTTCAATACTTTTTCAATGCTTCATTTCATTATATTATGCATAACTTAATTTGTAAACTAATTAGATTTGCTTTCTTTGCACAAATGTATTTCTTTGGTTGTTACCAACATCTGCTTAAAATCTCAAGCCAACAGCACCATAAAAATCTGTTTTCTGAGAAAAATGATGGTGTTTAATACTCATTTCCCCCGTTGTATATATTATCAAATATATGAGCTATAGTTTTATATATAGGGCCACATGAATCAGACTCTTTCCACTTATTTTGGTTTTTTTTTTTGAACATTCGTGAATCGAAACTTCAAGACTCTAAGGTTACATCAGCCTACCAGAACACTTTAGTGTGCTAAATATTTTCATGAAGTGATCAAAATCATTTATACTCAAACTGGCAAGCAAGAGCTGCTTTGCATTTAGGGTTTGTACATCAAGCCTAGTGTTGCTTTTCACTATTTGAATGCTAAATATAGACTCACGATACCTGCTGATACAGACACTCATTTCCTTTCAATGTGTGTTCATTTAAGCTTAGGCTAAGTTTAGTTTGACACATTTACGTGCTTTAAGAGACAGTTCACCCAAAAGTAAAAATTGTCATCATTTATTACCCCTCTATTTCTTCCAAACCTGTTCGAAAAGCACAAAAACAGTTATTGACTCTCATTTGTTTCCTACTATGGAGGTCAATGGCTGCTCTTTCCCAACATTCTTCAGTATAGCTTATATTTGTGTTCACAATAATCGAGGTTTAAAACCAATCGACTGCACTGCTTTGGTGTTTTTCGGAAAACTACCCCAAAATTCAGATTCAGCTACTAATAAATATCTTGAGACTTCCAAAGAGTAGTCTGTGTTAAGAGGAAACATAACAACAAAAAGATGAAGTGTGAAGAATGATCTGACAGCCGTGTGAGTTGTACTCACGTCTAGACGGTGTGGGGTGTAAAGAGGACTTGCTGACAGATCTTCATAGCCTGCCGTCAGGTGTGTAGCACGGTGCAGGATATCCACCTGGAGAAACACACAGCAACGGCATGTTATTTTAGCACTCCAAACACGCGTTACACAACACCAATAAACACCAGTGCTGCTATTACATTATGGTAATGATATGAGTGCATGTGCAACAAGCAAAATAAATCCAACTACAGCACAGGCGTAATGGATGGGTGATTGTGTGTGTGTGTGTAATCTCATACCTGAATCATTCTCTAATGCAACAAATAAAAAAAGTATCTTAAAATCGGCAACTGATATTATGCTAATTTATGTGTGAATATATTATAGACATTTCATTTGAAACCAGACCATGTGCATGTCACAGCACAAATTAAAACTTTTGATGGGAGCAGAAAAGTAAGTATTTTTATATTGTAATTCAAGCACAGTTCTAGCAGTTTCACAATAATAGGGTTTATTCCCTTTACAAGCATAAAAACATCATCTGAACAATACATAGAAGAACTCAACAATAAGGATTTACACTGATATTTTTACTCACCAAAGAAACAATTACTTTTTCACCATATTTTTACTGTTATAATGAAATTAAATGTATTTCCAGTAAAAAATTATACTTATGCGCCTTATTAAAGAGATGTTTTTCAGATGTTTTTGGAATTAGACCTATACAGAGCTAAACACTTTTTTTTTTTTTTTTTTGCAATGGCCCAGTTAAGCCAATGGAATTTGTTTTGCTTGCCACAAAAATAAGTGTAGTTATTTCTTAGCCACCTATTTCAATGTGTCAAAATTTGTTTTAAACCAAATGTATTTCTGTTAAAAAATTATGTTTCATACCTATTTATTAATATTATATCTGGTTCGCAGTTCAAAAATGCTAGCTGCTTCTTCTTCAACGTTTTGCGCGACAGTACTTACGGTTTAATGAGACGCTAATCAAAATCCCCTGAGCCAATAAGAACAAATCGCAGGCAAGCTCACCCCCACAAGAGCTTTGTGCCAGAATCTCAAACGTAAATTTGAGAAACAGAAACTCTGTCAGTGCAATCAAAACTGTGTCTATCTAAAGCGAAGCAGAAAGTGAACCAAACTAATAATACCTTTTTTGAGACAGTGTTTATTTTTTGCCATTTGGTTGATTGTTCTGTATTTTAACTGTTTTTTTATTTTGTTAATGTATATTTGTGTTGTTAATTGAAAAGTTTTGTGCATTTTATTTGGCAAAATTCTAATTCCTCATATATCCACTCACCCTTACTGTAAATACTTTTTGTATAAATGGATGATCATATAAAGAAATATATTGTCCTGTTGTCATGAGAAATTATATAATTGTTTGTAGTTTCTGTAAAATGTCTAACAGCTGCTGTGATTGTATCTGTTTGTGGGGGAAAAAAAAAAAAACGTTTTATTTGAAGTATTATCGATAATTGTATGTGTTGTCCCCAATTAGGTAGCTTTAGTGGGACAGAGGAAAATTAAGATCTTTTAAAAATGATTTAAGACCTACAACACTATATTTTAGTTAATTTAAGGCCTAAATTTAGTTTTTTATATTTTTGAAGACTTTAAGTCCCTGCGGACATCGTGTCTAAAATAAAATGATGGTTAAACTTACTTATATAAAGTTTTAATGTATTCATTTTAGTTGTAGCTTACTTTTTCGATCACCACCCATGGAAAACTAATTTAACTAAAGCCGCCTTTCCACTGCAAACAAGTCGGACACGACTGTCGAAATACACCCCCAGTAGAATTTTTTTTTTAATATAGACTTTTTTCTGACAATTATTTCTCATCTCATCTGCATGGACCTGCTTGGACAACACTGGAATTCGGTTGGCCGATCACATACAGTCTCGTCACAGGAGTTCAAATATTTTAATATGACAGCCAGGACAGTAAAAAGGCAGCTTAATGTTTTTTTGATTTTTTTTTTCGAAAAACAAGGTTGTGTGATTTAATTGCTGTCTAAATCCACTATTCACAATTTCTAAAGCCCTTTTGTAATTACTTTTTGCCACAGCAATGCACAGTTTGGCTATCCGTAACTAAAAGGTGCACTAGAAAGGTGTCACTCTGTTCATTAATAATGGACACCTACAGTGCGCCAAAGTGATAGAAATTTAAAAATCTGCATCAAGATATCAATTCAAACTGGGAGCTATTAAGAATAATTTTGAGGGAGCCAATGTTGTTATTAAACTAATAAGTCCATTAAAGTTAAGTAAATGACCATGAGAGACACTTAAAGTTTTACACGATTGACATTCACCGCAAATATTTTTCTAAAAGCATTCTCAGTCAATGAGAAACTATGGAGTTTTACTTTATTGATACAGAGATCCTCACGACTAACAATTGGCATCTGAATAGGAATCAAGTCATATGAATTGAATTGTAGTTTGTCTCATTGGCATCAGTCCGTCCTTATTGTTGAGCCCTGACGAATACAAAATGCACCCAAGAAAACAAGTCGTCTAGCAGGAAGGAGACACAGGATTGGCAAAGACGTGACTGTGAATGAGTGATGAGGACATGAAATGGAGGAGAGTCACAGGGAAGTTCACTGCTCAGGATGGAGCTCTATTCTCCGAGGCAGGATGTGTGGCAGGGTCAGGACTGCGGTTTTGGGGAAGGGGGAAGGAGAGCACTACACTGGGCAGGTTATGGAGGAGGAAGGGCATTGAGGGATGATCCTCAGTGCCTACCTGCTGCTGCTGCTGGGGCACAGCGTTAGTGACGCTGACGCCATCTCCGTTGAGTGAACGCAGCCCCAGGTACGCGTCTCCTGCGTGAGAGAGGCTGTATGAGCCAGACGACCCTGCGGGTGATATATATACGCAGCCCATCAGGCACACAGCTGTGCCCAGCTCAGCTTTTCAAGAGCTTACAGTGGCGTGTTTGTGTATGTCTGTGTGAGGGCATGAAAATCAGGACTGGCTACATTCCAAAAATCCAAGATCTTCAACTATTTACATTGACTAGACTAGAGAAAAAGGTGCACAACGGGAAGCTAAAATTACGTCAACTATACTATACACTATACTGTACACTATACGTTCATCATTACGTAACACTATATTCAACTGCTAATAAATTGGGTTTAGGTAAAGTGCAGGGTTGTCAATCTTGCTCCTGGAGGTCTGGTGTCCTTCAGATTTTAGCTCCAACCCCAATCAGACACACCTGGGCTAGCTATTCAAGCTCATACTAGGCTTTTTAGAAACATCCTTGCAGGTGTGTTGAGGCAAGATGGAGCTAAAATCTGCAGGACACCGGCCCTCCAGGACCAAATTTGAGAACCCCAGGTGTAACGTGTCTCTTTATTGTGTAGCGTGTCCAAACAATATTTTTAAAATAATAATTGTAACAAATATAGTGAGATCTTTGCTTTGCAAAAGGAGTGAGTGACAGCTGCCGGTGCTTCACACTCAGATCTGTTCTCTGCTTCATAATGAAGAAACTATGATGATGAAAGGCTGATTTACACAACGCGCAAGTTCGATTGGGTGCACGAGGCAAATATGTTGTCTTCGCAGTTTTGACAGAAGCTCTTTTAGAGTGCATGTAACCTCATTTCGACTGGCAGTGAGAATGGCGTTTTTTCCTTGGTCCCCTGTTCTTACATGTAATAGTGTAGCGGTGAACGTGTCAAGTATGTAAGCCTCCACAAATCGTGACTGTGTGCAAACAGTTATCGGCGGTTTGGTCTGCAGAGCCAAGTAAAATTATAAATCCAGCTTCAAGGCAGGAAAAAAACCAAGCTGACGGTGAGCGTTTGGGCTTCGTTGGTCCGGCTAGTTGCTTTGGTGTTCTCCACACATAGAGATAACGTTAGTTTGAACTGGCCCGGATTTAGCATGTAGAATCTGCCGTCAGATGAAGAGATCGCTGTATTTGATTAGTCAGCAATAAACTAGAGCGCAAGATTAAAACTGAATTGACAAAACAAATTACATAATTGAAGCCATTAAGAAACACAAAAAGCCAGCTGCAATTTTGCTAAATTTCTCAAGTATTAATTCAATTCAATTCAATTCAGCTTTATTTGTATAGCGCTTTTACAATGTAGATTGTGTCATTACAAACGATACATGAGCATATCCTTTCATTTATGCTTTGTCTGTGCTCATTTAATCTTCAACTTTCCCTTTGTGGAATATGAAAATGGAATACTACCCTCCAAAGGTGCGTAAATACACAGCCTCTCATGCAGGTTAAGAACACACACTCATTTCAGTCAGCTACAGTACCATCCATTTGGTGTTCATACGCATTTGGTTTTCAACAACGCAATCGGTTTTTATTGGCTTGGCTTGTCTTGGTCACAAGCAACATTTACACAGCAACAATGTAGCCAAAAAAATGCTAATGTTTTTCTCATTTGTTTCAAAAAGTTTCACGTTTACATGCCAACATTTAAAATGATCTGTGAGAACAGGCAAAACACTGTATATTTATGCCAAACCAGTAATTTGGCACAGTCACCTTATTTGTAAACAGCACCTGAGGCGAAGTGATGTTTATTTCGAATGAGTGTTTGATGTTTTTTCACTTATTTGTAATGTGAAGTAGATCCTTTGATGATGAAGCTTTTAACAAACATTTGAGCTGCAACACCCTGCCAACGTCCTCCACCATTGTTTTGAAAGTTTGTTCGCACTTGTCTTTATTTGACACGTTTTTTTTAACACATACTATGCACATGCATTGTCATCACTTTTTCAAAGACTGGTGCTTACACGAACACAACAGTGGCAGCTTTATCAAAAACTCCCACTTTAAAACCCATTTTCAAAATGAGTCTTGACTCGACTCCTCAAAATGCTGTTTTGTGTAAACGAACCGGCAAAGCACATAAAAGGTTTCCTGTTTTTAGCTGAAAAATGTTGTGCAAATGACCCCTGAAACCAGAAGATCTGTGGCAACACCTCTAAAACACTTTAAGAAACCTTCCTGCAAATCTAAGAGCAATTGCCGCTTTGAAAGCAAAGTGTGGTCACACCGGATTTTGATTTAAATTTATGCAAACAAAATTTAGCTGATATTCTCTATAATTAGATTATTCTAATTTTACACCAGTGCCTGAAACTTTGAGCAGTACTGTTTGCCTTGCAGGAAGGGTTCTTGAAACATCTTAAAGGAGCTCCCAGAGATCTTCTGCTTTGTTCTGGATGATGATGTCAGACTCCTTGCGGATGCAAATATCTCACTGGATTATTACGTCAATGGAGCAAATGTTAAAAATAACAAACTTTTCTTTTTTTTCTTTTTTTTTGTTGGGGTGTTCTCATTATTTTGACCAGCACCATGTATATGCTCATGTGGACATGAAGGTATACAACTCCACTTCCTGCCGATGACGTGGTGTATTGTTGGTGAGGCGACTGCAGGATGTGTTGCAGGATATGTGGAGGTGGCTTTTAAAAATGTATGTGGTGAGCATGTATTGTTCAAAATGACAATACCAAGTTAAATCACCTACCTTCTCCATTCTGCTTCCTGAGCAAATAGAGGTTCAGCTACACTAACCATGTGTCTGAGTGAGTGTGTGTGAGATGTGAAAATTAATACCACAAAATAAAAATAAAAAAGACACGCAGCACCAATAATTTAGGTAAAGGCAAAAAGAGAGGAATGTGATAGTTAAACACAGAGAGTTAATGGAAAAATCATGCAAAACCAGAAATGAAAGTGAATGTTAATGGCCAGACGTAACGAGTGGGTGGAAAAAACGGAACGGTTAGAGTATGGGTAGCTTTTAAATATAATACTATGATTGAATGGATGATTTAACAAAAAGTTCTTGACATTGGGAACCAAGTCTTTCATATCCACTTTTTATTTTTCCACAAGAAAAAATAGTTTTCACTTTTAGTTTTCAAGCAGTCTCTATAAATTAATCTAGATGAACCATTTTGAGAATTTCTCTGTTTCCTGTTGTTGGTCAATGTTTGGTTGTTTGATTTCCTCTTTAAAAAATATTTTTAACCAATGCACACACCAGCTGCAGTTTCCTTTTGAAAGAATCTGTGAAATTGTCTAAATTCAATAACACAATTTTTTTCTCTCCATGTAAGATTATGAATAAAAAAAAAAAACTCACTACCGAGTGCGGCTCATGCGGCTGCCGTCACTGTGGTAAAACAAAAGACGATATCACTCATAAAAATAAAGTCCATAAAACTGATGTAACTGTAAATCAGTAGTTCTCAACACTTTAGGCCGCATTTACACTAATAAATTTTAGTTTTACAATGCAAACGTTTTACTACGATTACACTTTCTGTATACACTACGCTGGAGTTTGGAGCGCTGAAAACAGAACTTTTTTTAAAATGCTGAAGAGGCTGTTTTGGTTTGAAAAAGTTGCTGCTCCGTGTCAGCGTGGATGGGGAAATCCGAGACATCTAAATAAGGAGGCGTGGCTGCAGGCATTTGCCAATCTGATTGGCCTTTTCCGCAATACGAAGTGCACAAAGTTCTGTTTTGCATCATCTCCTTGAAAGATCAGACTTCATGAGTTTGAAATGGAAAACAGACTCTCAAGAACATGTCAGGAAAATCTTCAAAGGGAACAGTGTACTTTATAATGTCATTACCCTGGATATGTTGTTTCACTTAATAAATGTTTAATTAATTTGACTTAATCTAAATAATATGAAAACATGATAAGAAAATGCCTATTCTCACTTTGATATTAACAACTTAACAGACACCAAAAATGTTGAGACATCGTGTAGCTGCATATTTATATAACCGTCATCTTCACTGTATGCATATTTACAACAAAATGGAGCCTAAAATAACATTACTGCCTCCTTTCACTTTCATTGAAAAATATGAAACATACCCTCTCTTTTGCTGAATATCAGTTTTAATAATCAACAATGGCCATTATATAAGGATAACGTACAAGAAGTTCGTAAAATATAGGAAAAAGGCTAGCAATCAGTCAAATGTGCAGAATCAGTGTTGGTTATATAAATTAATATATCTTTGCGCTCAGCCAAAACACGTTACCTGAGAACAAGTAATGAATTCAAAAGACTAATGAGTTGTTAGATAGAGAGGAGATTAATTAAATATCACATTTATCAACTATAGTGAGATGAGATCCAGCGGTAGATTCTTGATGAACTGTCTGACGTGCGATGCTGTCACCTGGGGAGGTGAGCTCAAAGCACCCGCTGCAGCGCATGCCAGAGTGTTTGTGTTCACGTGATGAGTGTTTTCAGCGGAGTAGTGTCAATAGAGATCTTTTCAGAAACGTTAGGTGAAACGCCAGGGTCGTGGATAGTTTTCTTTCTAAAACGATGTTTTAAAACTAACATATTAGTGTAAAGTGTTTAAGCTAGGGCTGCACAATATATCGTTTTAGCATCGATATCGCAAAGTCGGATCACAAAATTATAATATTATAGTTGAACAGGAATCACAGTTTAACCCATACATGATTTGTTGAGTCACTGCAAATTTTACCTATAAATTAATCAATTAGTTCATCATCTGCATGTGTTTTAAAGCATGTGCCTGTTTGAGCATTTCAAGCCCCTTCAGGCACTGAAGAAATTAGCTTTGTTTTATTTACAGTTGAAGTCAGAATTTTTAGCCCCCCTGAATTATTAACCTATTTTATTTTTCCTTAACAGAGAAAAGATTTAACACATTTCTTAAACATAATAGTTTTAATAACTCATTTCTAATAACAAATCATTTCTAATCTTTTCAAGACACTAGTATTGAGCTTAAAGTACCATTTAAAGGCTTAACTAGGTTAATTAGGTAAGCTAGGCAAGTCATTGTATAACAATGGCTTATTCTGTAGACCATTGGTCACTAAACTTGTTCCTAGAGGGCCAGTGTCAGATTTTAGCTCCAACCCTAATCAAATGCACCTGAACAAGCTAATCAAGGTCTTACTAGGTATACTTGAAACACCCAGGCAGGAATGTTGAGGCAAGTTGGAGCTAAATCCTGCAGGGACACCGGCCCTCCAGGACCAAGATTGGTGACCCCTGCTGTAGACAATCAAAACAAATATCACTTAAAAGGAGCTAATACTTTTGACCTTTTTAAAAATCAAAAACTGCTTTTATTCTAGTCGGGAAAAAAAATAGTAACACTTTCTCCAGAAAGCAAAGTATTATCAGATACTGTACACTATAAAAAGTTCCTTGCTCTGCTAAACATAATTTGGGAAATATTTAAAAAAGAAAAAACAATTCAGAATATATTATTAATAATTTTGACTTCAACTGTATGTGCATGTACAATGAAGTGTTATTTTACATATGATTATTCAGTTTGTGCTTGAATACTGCTAGACATCCAAAAAAAAAAAAAAAAAAAAAAAAACATACAGTACGATTTATTTCATTTGAATTTTGCTCTATTATATTTATCAATGTTTTTGATCGGTCGATTATATTTCATGCAGATGCACTCTCCTACAAAATCAGCTCATTTGATCTAATTTTTGCATTATTATTTTCCAAATAGAGCTGCTGAAATTATACTCAATCGCAGTATGTAACGCAGAAATATAAAATAGCGCAATCCAAGTTGTTTGTAATATCGTGCAGCTCTACTCCAAAACTTCTCATTGTCCACAACAATATTCTCTTTTCTCTCATGGTTTACTTCATACAATTCAATAAAAGTTTAACTTTATAAAACAAAAACATTTGTCATTCTGAGCAACTACCATCTGAAGCATAGAAACAAATGTTAAAATAAATGTACTCAAACCCACAATAAAACCCAGAGAAACTGAGAATGTCCTTTATTTTTCATAGCTGTGAGAATGTTTTTTTTTTTTTTTTTTTTAATAAAATAAAACAAGACGACAAGAACAAAAACACGGTTTAAGCTGCGATTATTCTTGCATTTTAGATGAGGCTCTCTAGGGGCCCTGCCTCCCCTGCCTGACAACCACTACACTAAACTAAGCCTTAATGAGCTTTGTTTAAAGCCACTCTATTATAGACCATTTCAATGTGGTGATGCCACTGGCCCATGAACATTTCCTGCTTGTTGTCAAACTATTTTAATAATTGTAACAAGAGGCAATTCAATCATATCTCAACATTAAAATGGCTATCATTACATAATACTTATTATATTATCAATATATAAAGCTTTTAGGATTCTCTGGAGCTATGGAAATTAATAATGTAAAACAAGAAATACTTTAGGTCCATTGTTATTATTTACATACCTCAAAAACGCATATATGCAAGCCTACTGCCATCCACATAACTAGCCTTAAAAAATGTCAAAAAAACACCTGAGGCACACACCCACTCCACTATGATGTCTTTATACAGTGGTGGTTTACTAAACAACTGTTCTCTAGATAAAATCAGGTCAACAGACAGCACAAACCAGATCAACAAGATTAGATGTTTAGTAAGTGCAGAATACAATGAGCACCAAACACGCACGTACGCACGCGCACACACAAGTTATCCGTATGACTGGGAACAGGGGAAAAGATTATGACACAGACAAGACCAGACTTGAGTATAAGTGAAAGTGAAAGTTGAAATGTAAATGCCAGCAGGCGTGAGTGCGATTTTGGTTAGCGGTGTGCTTTTGCTATCTGCTAGAGATGATGGCTGGGCTGCTGTGATCTTTACCTGAGTTGGGTGTTGCTGGAGAGTTTGCCTGGCTGGCCTGTGCCGACACATTGGCGGCGTCCACGGCTGTTTTAACGGCGTACAGGTTTGCTTCCTCCTGGAACTTACCAATGTTCTTCTTGTACCGAATTCTCTTGTTGCCAAACCAATTCGAGACCTGAAGCGAAACAACTCCAATTAGACCAGCATTTCAGAACAGTCTACTGCTTTAATACAAAAGTTAAAGCCCAAAATAATGCAAAAATAAAGATTTTGTTTTTACAATTAGTTGTAATATGAATGATTCTGACTTGGAAAACACAAGATTTACTCCACTTTTTCCCTTTATAAAAGAATTAATACACTGCTTCAACAAGCACACATTAGATTAATCAAAAGTGAAAGTAAAAAATTATAAGACATGTTATAATTTTTCTTTTCAAATGTCTAAATGTACAGTGGTGAACATTAAAACATTAGGCAGCAAAACATGTTAAATATTGATGTGCAATTTCTGCATTCAAAGTCATTTACAGTGCTAAGAGTTGGATTCACATTCAAAATAAAGACCATGTGGTTTGTACATGACAAAAAGTGTTTTTCTACTTTCAGTTTTTTTAATACTGTTAATATCATGAAGGGTGGAGCTCCTTATAAGGCCATTTTTTGACATTCAGGGTAGAGGGCGCACACACGCACACAATGGAAATAAAATACCATAGCCCTTTCACACAAGTTTTTTAAAAATCGGACTTATTTTGAACACATCACTTTTATAATTGCATGACGATGCGTTTGTTTTTTTGTTTTATCACGCTGCCTAATGCACTACAGTGGAGATGTTAGAGCTGCTGGATTTGCAACACGTCAGAATTACATAAAATTTTATGAAATACATGAAAGTGACTGGAGAAAGAAAACAGTAAATGAAATATTTGTTTTGCACAATGTTATGTACAGTGAGTATTTATATAAAGTGCTTGTACGGTTTCATTTTGTGTATGTGTAGCAAAAAAATGTTTTATAGTAGTTATAGTATTTATAGTATACAGCGGGGAAAAGTAAGTATGGAGCATGTTTTTTTCCTGGGAATAATGTTTCTAAAAGAGCAGTTGACATGGAATATTACATGGAATATTAACCAGATATTGGCAAAACCCCAAATCAATAAAAACATTTAAAAAATTATAATAAAATATGTGTAACAATAACAACATGATGCAAAGAAAAGGTACTGAACTTCTGAAGTGTCTTTAATGCTTTATATAAAAGACTTTTTTGGTGATGGCAGCTTAAAGACGAGCCTCATATGAAGAATGAAGTCACATCCATTGCTCAGGTGTGATTTTCTTTCACAGACTTCAACAAAGTGTAAAAATCTTGATGTTATGTGGGTCTAGTCTATTGAATCTGATCTTTAATTTGTATTTTCTATTTGAGTCAGGGGATTGGCTGGGCCATTCTACAGCTTGTTTTTCTTTCTCTGAAATGATTTTAGAGTTTTTTTGGCTGTGCTTTGAATCATTGTCCTGCTGAAATGTCCACCCTGGTTTCATCTTCATCATCCTGCTAATGTTGATGTTGAATTAAAGCAGCTAATATTTATTTACAATGAGAAAGGGCAGAGGGTTGCTGAACTACTGAGAGATTTTAGTGGCTGTCTGGGCCTTCACTACCTGTATACCTCCCCTTCTTCATGTGTTTAATACTTTCCCTGTGTCATTTCATTTTATTACACATAACTTATTTAACTAATTACTTTCAATTCCTTTGCATATATCAATTTCTTAGTTGATACCAACATCCAGGGAAAATTTCAAGTCAACGGCACAATTGGAAATATGTTTTCTGAGAAATATGGTGACGTGTTCAATACTTATTTTCCCCGCTATATGTATAGTCAGATGGTTAACTGCTGCACAGCTCTATAAATGTTGTTCTAATACTGTATTGTGGTATGCTTAGATTTATGTTTTGTATGTAGCACAGTAGTCATATGAAACATTTTGTTCCACTATACATGTCCATACATGTAGAAATGACAATAAAGTATCTATTGCAATATAACAAAACACCAAGGTTATAATAGTTTTGGATTTTATTAGTTATAGTTTATTTCGGTTTGACTTTTTGTTTTCAAATTCAGTTAGTTTTAATTAGGTTTAGAGGCAGATTTACTAGTTTTTATTAGTTTCTAAATATATGTACTTCCACAGGCATCTATTTTAAAGAGATTTTAAATACAGTATATGATCTCCATGACTATGTAACAAGTGAAGCCTTTAACAAATTAAACTTTAAAACAGATAAAAAGAGAAAATACAATATTTTAGACTATTAAGTTTTTGTACTTAAATATTAAAAATAAGTGAGTATAAGTCTTGGAGTGAAAAGGATAACAATTTTTTTAATTTTTTTTTTTTACATATTTTAAACAGTAATCTATATATACACACACATCTCGTCACGTTAAGCCTGGTTTATACTTTTGCGTCAAGTGACCAGCGTAACCCACTGGGCATGCAATGCGCGTAGCTGTGCATTTATACTTCTGCGCACTGTCTATGTTGGTTTGCATAAACACTTCCAAAACGCTAGTGGGCAGTGAGGTGTTAATGTGTCTCTGTGTCGAGATTCTTCGCTGCTGTTTTTTTTCTGAACACTTCCGGGATGTACAAGTGGCTCAAACTCACTCATTTCAAAGCTGGAACCGGCGGACGTGCAACAACTTTAACTAGGAGGTAAACACAAAACTTTCCATCAGAAGCTCCTTTGCGGGACTCCACACTTGTAAACAATCGCTCCATTGGGCTAGCGCCGCTAGGGCGGCTCTCGATCCTGCCCAGACTTGTCAGTGCTACAAATCCGACTAATCACAGAGCTTGCGCTACGCGTCGTTGTGATGTGTAGTTACAATTTTTGAGAGGTGCACGTCAGTGACGCCGACGGCCACGGCGAAGGGCTATGCATCAGCGCCGTAGCATATGCCTGTGTTTAACGCAAAAGTATAAATCAGCCCTTAGAATTATAAGGTTCTATCTGACATTTTTGTCAAAATTGAGTTATACATTCTTATCAAATTAAAACATATATACATTATGGGATTTTTTTATAAGTTGTTTACATTAAGACTTTATTTAAAAAACAAATGTTACACAAATACTGTTTGCAATAGAAAGCAAAAACTTTAAAGCTTAATATCTCAAAATCATTCAGAACACAGATATAACCTTATAATTAAAAGATGACGATTATATATTTTTAATTTCTTATACTTATTTAAAAAGCTCAAAAATAGCCAAATCCAATTATACAGAGAACAGAATGGTCCATTCGGCATTGTAAAATGTCACACATAAAACCACATCCGTGCGATATTAATATCCTCATTCTTTTCTATGGGTAATAATTCTAATTTGCTTAAAAGGTCTCTTCTTGCCATTAAGAATCTAGCAATTAAAATACCCAATATCAGATCCATCTCGGACTAAAACTTTAGCTGCAATTTCTCCTGCTTCTGAAAGTATTTTCACACTAATGAGAGATCAAATGGAAAGTGGAGAAGTTAACTGTAACTTCTGAAGCTGCTTTGGTTGTTTTGACTCTGCAAGTGTTCCGTGGGGGGAGATGCAGCTGACAGAAAATGGTTCCAACTTGTAATTAGGAGTTCAAATATCTGAGTGTTTTTACAAGAAGGAAACTCACAATTACGGTAAGTCTAAACTACTCCGAACACAAGTTCACAACTCAACTCAGCAGTCGCACTAAAAGTGGCTGCTGACTCTAAAATAAATACTTACTCAACACTGTGGTTTCAAAGCCAACACATCTTCAGTTTTTTTAAACAAGTTCAGATATAACATGGTTTCTACAGTTTTCATCAAGTCAAATTTAAGACTTTAACACCTTTAAGACAATTATGAATAAAATTTCTGACTTACACAAGGCTAAACGCTAAGGATTTTTTTTCTAATGACCCAGGCAAAATATTAAAAACAAACATTATTGTAAGGAAGCTAATTAAATGATTTTGGCAAATAGAGGTAATAAATAAACTTTTGTTAAAACTTTTGTTGAGATGAAATGTTAGTAATTGGATGGGTGTTCAATTCAATGTTTATGTAGCGCTTTTACAATGTACATTGTGTCAAAGCAGTTTAACATAGAAGTTCTAGTAAATTAAAAAGTGTAAGTCCAGACTTCAGAGTTGAAGTTCAGTTTAGTTCAGTTAAGTGTGGTTTAAATTTCACTGCTGAAAGTCTAAACACTGAAGAGCAAATCCATCGATGCGCAGCTCAACAAGTCCAAAAACCAAGTAAGCCAGTGGCGAGAAACAAAACTTCACCAATTGATGAAAGTGAAAGAAAAAATGTTGAGGTGATTGGGTAGCTTTACATGGACATAGGAAAATTAAGACATGTTAAAAATGATGTTAGCCAACAACACATTTCAGCAAATTTAAGACTTAATGCCAAAAATTTAGTCTTTGAAATTGAAGACATTTTAAGACCCCGCAGATACCATGTATTACAATTGATAATACTGTAATATTTGAGTTTATATTGAATATTTAATGCACTTCATCTACATCATTGGAGAAAAAAAAACTTAGAGACCACTTGGACTTACTAGAAAGTTATTCATGCTCTAAATCAGTTACATATCAAAATGACAACTGCTAAAATGATCAGTTTTATTTGTTTTTATTCATCAATCATGGTTATTTCACCAAATATTAATTTGTTAACACTTCTATAGATAAAACATTAGCATTGTGTCGTTTAAAAATCAAAACATGTATGCATGCATGCTAACTTACTGTTATTTTATGCAGAAATGCTCTAAATGACATTTTCAAATCTAGTTTAAAGATTGAAACAAACATTGGATTACTTTTACTCAAACGCACATCTACAAATAGTGAATACAAGGGAAAAAATGGCATTTTCACAGGGTCTCAAACTCTTTTTCAATGCCATATGTAGCTATGTGCCTTCATTACTTTTAGATATTATTTATATAAACCTAAATTACACTGGTTAAGTCTAAACTAAATGACAATGAGCTTTGTCTTCATAAAAGGTTTTTGATTTCACATGGCTTACATTTAGAGTGTCTGTATAAACTTTTAGTGGAATATACATTCAAAGTTCATTAAAAAAAGAAGTTCATTTGTGTCTTGAAGTCAAAAGTTCAGATCAACGCATGGGTGACTAAATGATGACAATGTGTTTGTTTCAAGCACCCTTTTTGCACGACAGCCTATGGAAAATATTGCAATATCTGAGATAAAACTGTATCAATGGTTGATATCAGTAACCGCAGAACAGAAAAGGAAAAGGAAATGATGCTAAAGAGGTCAGATTGATCCCTGATTGACATTGACTCATGGAATACTAGCAGAAGCATTACAGACAATGTTTCAGACAGCATAATCACATTTAAATGTATTTGACGGACCCATTTTACAGAGTATAATGACACTGTTTAGGTACTAACATATAACTATATAGTAATGTTTTTTAATTCCTTTAACTACCAAATAGTTGACCATATTTTGACTGTTTTAAAAAATGTGTTAAACTCATTTAAAGAATGAATGTTTTAAATATTAGTTTACACACACATTGTTGGTTTCCAAAAAACAAACAAACAAACAAACAAACAAACAAACAAACAAGAAAACATGTTAAATGAGGATCTGAAATATCTCACAGCATACTCATATTAAGATAATTTATTCTTACACTTTATATTTTCAGACGTTTCATAGTTTATGTATTAATTCCACTACTTTTACCATATAAACCGATATATAGTTGATATTTTAGAAATTATGGGATATATGGACAAAAAAATGCCTTGAGTATAGTAACTTGAGACATGAGTTAAAAAATGCAATCCAATTTCTTTTTCTTGGTGGGGCAGTTAAAATGTTTTATGTATTTGAAGTGAAATGTATTAGCCCTTCTTTGAAATTGGTATTCTTTAAGTATTGAGAAGGTGCTCGCTTGCAGAGCCACTTTGGTTGAGCTCACCTCTAATGATGGGGAGCTTAAGGTTGAAGAAGTGGTGTGATGTGTACTCAGGGATGAGGTGTCTGAATAACAAAGTTGAGAACTGGACTATGCAACGGGTTTTAGGCGGCGGCTGCGATCAGATGTTACAGACCGTACCAAAAAGCTAAGGCCCAGGGGTGAGAGGGGGAGGTGAAATTATAGGAGATTTCCAGAAGAAATTACAAAACGAGAGGTTGTTGGAAGATGAGTCTGAAATACAGGGAGACGCCCGGGAAAAATGGGAGTGTTTGCAGGTATGACCATACCCTTATCCTCAACCCCCAGTGACATCATTTGTTGAAAAAGTGCAGCAAGGAGGAACTGGAGCTCAAGCTCCCCCTTGGCAGCTCTGCTCTGCCCATGTGGCTCTGCAGTGAGCACCACTTGTACATATTTCCCAAGTGCTGTTTGACAGAGCAAGGACTTTTTTGCTAAGTCTTCTACAGACAAAAAATATAATAGCAAAGATTACTTCTTTTAAACCGACTGGAGTAAAAATTAAATATATTCATGTTAAAAAAAACCTTGCAAAATGTATACTGTCATCATGGTAAAGACAAAAAAAAATTGTTATTAGAAATGAGTTAAAACTTGTTTTAAAATGTTGAAAATAATAATAATAATAATAATGGTGTCTTCAACTGTATATATACACTCTCATTGTCTACAGATATAATGTATATTACTGCTCAGTGTTTTTCTATTTTGCCATTAAATGACATATAACTAGGTAACACTGCTGCTGTGTGACTGTTTCTTATACACCAGCTGAGCAAGTCTGACTTCTTTCTCTTATTTGACCAGTGTTTCTAATGTAACTCTGCATCAAATTTATACAAACACATTTTATTTGGCTTTTGTGAACCATGTAACTGATATAAAAAAATAATAATTACATATTTAGTAGTTTTTCACACTACAATTTCTGACTATTTTATGAATTTGACTTCATAATAACCTGAATGCTAAAGTCCCTCTAAACTCATTCCTATAGTCATCACCATACAGACAAAGGATTTGGACTTTCAAGAAATGTTTAGGGCTGTTTTCTGTGAAATGTAGGACAGCTGTTTTGCAATGTTAAAGCAATTATGTAATGATTAACTGATAATGGGCTATTATTATTAGAAACAATTGCACACCCAAGATAGTGATGCAGCCACAATGATTATTTTCTAAATGAGTCAGTTCTTCTACTTGTACTACAGTTACCAAACCTAAAGACGCTCTTCAGGTGTTGTATTTCAGTCTTATGTTAGGTTTGTGTTTCTAACAGCTCCTGTGGGTTAGAATAGTTTAAGAATCTCAATCAAAGCTTTCCATTTTATTCTGGTGCGATTTCTGTATGCTGTGAATTCACTAAAATCATTTAGTGTAGCGATGTGGGACTGTAATGCTGTCAAAACATGCCTGGAGCTAGTTTACCTGTGCATTAATCTGAAAAAAATTGCACACTTTACAATGTTCATCTGCCAAACCAAAATAAGCATTCAACAGCCCCATGGTATTAGATAACATAGACAATAAGTACACCATAAATATGAATATAACTTAAAAGAACACTACCCTTATAAATAGGCTCATTTTACAACTCGCTCACTTTCCTTCACCTTATTCGCTGATTTATCAGGGGTCACGGCAGCATAATGAACCTGTAATTTCTCAGGCAATTGTTTATATAGTAGATGCGATTTTAGCCACAACCCTCAGCGCTGGAAAACACCCACACACAGACACACAAACTCCCATTCACACACTATGGCAGATTTAGCATGTCTTTGAACTGTGGGGAGACACCTGGAGAAAAGCCACACAGCCGCAGGGACATACATTTACAGACCTTCTGATCCAGTGGGGACTCAAACTAGCACACTTCTTGCTGTGAGGCAATCGTGTTATCCACTTAGCCACTGTGCCATCCCTTTTTACAACTTCAACCTTCTACAAATTCTTGCACTCACTCGCCCAATCTGACGAGAGCACTTTTAGCTTAGCTTAGCATAAATCACCAAATTGGATTAGACCATTAGCATGAAAGTTTTGATAATTTAAAGCTGTGACTCTTCTGTAGTACACGTTTTAAGAAAAGCCACTGTTTCGTCAGCACATATAGCTAGACACTATACTCATTTTGGCGTAATAATCAAGGAACTTTTCTGCTGGCCATGACTGCAGCAGACACAATGATATTATGCAGCATATTACATCTAGCTGGAGACCATGGAATGGTAGCAAAGTTACCTGACAATTACATAACAATAAGCGTATAGTTCCTAGCCATATTGGCCTAAAAAAATAGAACCTTTTGATTTTCCATCAGTCTTACAATCAAGCTTTTAACAGGAAAATTACCTAAACTCTATTCTCTTTACATTTTTTGAGCGAGATGCTAATTGCCTAATCTGATTCAACGACCTAAGCTAAGTTAAACGTGCTTCCACAAGACCTGAAGATCAGCTGAATGGATTGAAAAATGGTAAAACTGAACTGTTTAACTCTAAGGGAGATATAAAATGAGCCTATTTAATAAAAAAGTGGGGTGCTCCTTTAACAAATGGATTCTTATATGACTAAGCTTTATGTATTATACTTAAGTGGTTTAACAAAATTGCACAGTGTGCTAATTGAAATGGGTCAGAAGCAATTTTGCAGGATACTGATGTTATGTTCTCATGTTTTCTCCAACAAACAGTTGGAGATTATGATACTCCAGAGTTCCCCTTACCTGAGAGACAGTGATCCCACACTTCTTGGCCAGCTCTTCCTTGGCTTCCTCACTGGGGTACGGGTTGGAGAGGTGAGAGTAGAAGTACTCGTTCAGCACCTCTGTGGCCTGCTTATTGAAGTTGCGTCTCTTACGTCTGCAGACACAGCAGGCAGAGAAATCAGGTGAGCGTTTTATTCATAAAAGCGCAGATCAACATATGCAGCTGGCACACACATACACACACACCTGGCGTCGAGGAAACGGGAGCGCAGGATCATGACGGCCTCGCAGGTGCTCTGCTTGAGCTGCATCTGGATGGAGCTGAACTTGCGGTGGATGATGGCCACCATGCGCTCGATCTCTTTGGGTGAGATGGGCCGTGTGCGGGACTGTTCCCTCAGCAGGTTCATCACGTGATTGGTGAACTCACTGCAGGCCTGGTGGCAAACAGATTTGATGATTATAACACAGGGTATCTGCACATTTTTTAACAGAAAATTTAAGACCTTTTAAGACCTTTTTAAGTCCTCTAAAATGAAAATTTAAGACTTTACCTAAAAAAAAAAAAAACAGGAAAATGTTCAGTGTAAACACAGAATGATGTGGTGAAGTATGGCGGCAAATCTATGGCGGCAAATCAATGGCAATATAAATCGAGCGCAGCGGTGATGTTTGCGCGCGAGGAGAAGTGAACCGTGAGCAGATTACTTGGTTGACTTGGTTTACTTGTTATCTCTAACGCTATTGGCTACTGTGCCTTTCCGGAAGTTAGCCGGGATTGGACGCAAGTTAAAAGATCATGCCGTTAAATATATATACAATTTGCAAGTCATAATCATAAGAAACTTTCTGAGAACTTTATGAACTTTATGAGGATTCAATCTCGAGAAACAGTCAAATAATATCCAAAATAATGACTTGCATTCTTGTAACATGACTTTCTGAACCCATTTGATTTGTCCGTGCAGCACTTGTCTGGTTTGTTGTATTTTACTTCATTATTAACCACAACAGCAGTGCTCATTATTACACTTGGGGATGATCTTTCTAGGAAATATTGTCATCAGAAGAGTTTATTTGCGTTTTAGATCTTTATAGATAATTATAATTAATTTATCTTTATAGATAATTGTTAACATTGTTTGTAATATAGATCAGTGTAAAATATATATATATATATATATATATATTATATATATTTTTCAATCTCATTTTTAGTTAATGATTGAATAACCTGCATATAAAGACTTCAATCAAAAAGGATTAGCCCAATTAAACATAAAAAATACAGTGACAGACATTCAGATGGGTGTTTATCGCCACCTATTGAGCAACAATTTAATTTCTACAATCTTCGTTTGGCTTTACTCACTATCCATTACATCATTCCACTTCAGAGGCATACAAATACTACTTTCTATACGACAGGCCCACATCTTAAAGGTCACATATGCAGTTGAAGTCAAAATTAGTAGCCCACTTTTTTCTTGTTTTATTTCGGCAAGAATAAAAGCTGTTTTAATTTTTTAAAACCCATTTTAAGGTCCATATTATTACCCTCTTTAACCTATTTATTTTTTTCGAAAGTCTACAGAACAAACCATCGTTATACAATAACTTGCCCAATTACCCTGCCTAGTTAACCTAGTTAAGCCTTTAAATGTCACTTTAAGCTGTATAGAAGTGTCTTGAAGAATATCTAGTCTAATATTATTTACTGTCATCATGGCAAAGATAAAATAAATCAGTTATTAGAAATGAGTTATTAACACTATCATGTTTAGAAATGTGTTGAAAAAAATCTTCCCTCCGTTAAATAAAAATTAGGATAAAAATAAACAGGGGGCTATTAATTCAGGCGGGCTAATAATTCTGACTTTAACTGTATAGTGGAATAACAGACTAATGGCAATATATTTACTATAAACCTTTGTACTTTATGCACTGCATGCATGTATAGCCTATTTTGTATACTATTGTCCATCCAATTTATTCTGACTTGTTCTTCACAGAAAATGAGTCAAGGACAATGAATCTTAGAAAAAAAAAAGATTTTTGTAAATTTGAACACGTTTAGTTTGAGTTCAGTTTAAATGTAGGTGCTAAACTTCATCAAATGGTTCAAAACACATTTAAAGTCTGAATTATTCGTCCTGATTTAATAGCCCATGTATATTTTCCCCAATTTCTGTTTAATGGAGAGATCTTTTGCCACATGGTATAACTCTCTCTTTCTCTCCCAAGTAATAAAGTTTGTTACAGAAATATATCTCATTATTTTGATATGTCATTATATGACTTGGTCATGATGGTAAGAATAGGCATTATTATAAGATTAATTATTACAAAAAATATCTCATTATTGAAAGTAAGTCTCCACCTATTATTACTGAGAAAGTAAGTCTATGTTTCACACTGTGACATTATGATAAGATTTCCTATATAATTTTATTTAACGGGGAAACTAGCTTACCTGCGTCCAATCCCGGCTAACTTCTGGAAAGGTAGAGTAGCCAATAGCGTTAGAGATAACAAGAAAACCAAGTCCCGCCCTAGGACTCACAAAAATCTAAACTGTTTCGCGAGCAGAGAGAAGAACCAGCGAGCGAGCGGAGAGAACTGATCGCGCGCGCGCTGTAGGCATGACCTCGCTCGCGAGAGCGTACATCGTGCGCACAGATGATGATGTGCGCGCGGGGGACTTGTTTTCTCGCGCTGGATCAGTTGAGCGCGCGCGTGAAGATCCCCTGTGCGCTCGCGAGCTGTAATTTTCTCGCGTGTAGACCTGTAATCTGCTCACGGTTCACTTCTCCTCACGCGCAAACATCACCGCTGCGCTCGATTTATATTGGCATTGATTTGCCGCCATAAGACGAGTCGGACATGATATTTAAGATCCCACATGAAATTTAAGACCTCCTTATGGAAAATTACAGAATTTAAGACATTTTCAGACCTTAAAAATCGAAAATTTTATTTAAGACATTTTAAGACTTTTTAAGGACCCGCGGGGACCCTGTAACATAGATGAAGTTAAAATTATCAGCCCTCCGGTATTTTTTTCCATTGTCAAAAATTTCCCAAATGATGTTTAACAGAGCAAGGAATTTTTCACAGTATTTACTATAATATTTTTTCTTGTTGAACAAGTCTTTCTTGTTTTATTTTGGCTAGAAGAAAAGCAGTTTTTCTGCTTTTCTTTCTAGCTAATTCAGCATGGTGGCACCTAAAGAACTGCAGAAATTAATGATTTGCTAAGGTTACTACAAGTAAACAAAACAGCATGATATCAAATCTAGCAGGATTTCATTGATTTCATAAACTATACAGCATCCTGCTTTTCGCAGATTTAATTCAGGCAAACTTTAGCATATAATCATACATTGCATAATCAAAAATTGTATAAAATTTAATACCTTGCAAAGTAACAATTAAAACTTTTGAAATCTTTAAAGGCCTTAAATTTCTCCACATTGAATACTTTAAGACCCCGCGCACACCCTGTTTATTAACAATTGTGACAAAAAAAGTGTCAGACAATAGGTGAAATAATCACCCACCATTATTTAATGTTACACATTACACTCACTTTAAAATAGATAAAAGTATAAGCAATGATGTTACATTTACATGAACTCATTTACATGAGTTAAAATGACAGTTAAAGACAGTTGTGTATTTGAGGGCTACACTAAGCATTTATTTAAATACAACAATTATATTTTTTAATTATTTTGTGTATTTTGTATATTTATTCATGTAATTTTATTCTGAATATACTATGAATATTAAATGTACATCCTTTTTGCGCTACTAAGGGGCCGTTCACATATCATCTCTTTTGGGCGAGCAAGTTTATTATTTCCAATGGAGGTGTGTGTGGCTTGCGCATGCATATTGGGAGCAATGTGCTCACATTTCCCAGGGGCACTTAAAAACATCTCACCATTTTAGCGCAATTGAACTGCAAGTCACTTGACAACAACTAACCAATCAGCTTCATACTATGAATGGAATATACACATTTCGGTAGACTAATTACAAACACAGAACACCCAAACGTTGCAGTCCTTTTAAAATTTCTCTAGAAATAAAACTAGTATCAGAGAATGCGCTCGCAATCTCCACATGAAATTAGACGTAATACGTGAATGGCCCCTTATGTACAGGTCATTTTTTAACTTAAATGTTAAAAGTCTGAAAAGATGAGCACTTCTCAATCTGCACTTTTATGAATCGTAAGTATTTTGGTAATAAATCTTCATTATGGTTTCAGCTCCTCTCCTTATTGAACTTTTGTATGAGAATAAAATCTGTTACAGGGACAGCTAAAGCCCAAAGAAGCAAAATACAATTTTTTTTTAAATTGACTCCTACAGGTTAAAGAATGATTAATGAATGTATTAAATTCATTAAACTGCGAGGTAATCTCTTTCTTTAATGATGTTTACTTTTTTAAATTGAACTAAACTCCTGAAGTACGTGTGTGTGTGACTCTGACCCATGGTTTCTGCTACATTCATTCTTCCATGGCGGGGCACCACGCCAAAATTTATCCTGCCACAGCTACATTACAGCTACTCAGTTAAAACATTCACTCATGTTTTTAATAGCGCGTGATAATCGCACCAAAACGTTTTAAAAGGTAAGTGAGTTATAACAGCGCAAACTTTTCTGTAACCGTAGCAGTGTTGTGCGTTAATTAATTAACCCTTTAAGGTTACGTGCTGACTGACTGAGGCCAGCAAACACGACGTATAGCCGTTTCACTTTACTTCTGGATGCATTAATACGGCTCTGTAGGTCTATTGGAGACATTCATAAATATTCCTAGCAAATCTAATAAATGTTGGAGACATACTTGTTACATAAACGCACTAAATCGCACTTCAGCATCATTTATTTGAGAGCGCACAAGAAGATCTAAACTTGAGTAGCGCATGCTCGTAGGCTATTACGTCAATGCGCTCACGACATTTGTCATCGGAATAATGACAGGTAGTTGTAGATCTGTGTAAAAAAAGGCCTGCTGCCACAGCTGGAAAAAATCCTAGAGGAAACGCTGCTCTGACCTGTTCGTATTTCTCCAGCTCGGAGTGGTAGATCTGGCGGATCTGTGCGAGTTTGGCTCTGTAGTCGGAGTGTTCGATGCTGCCATCATTAGGTGATCCTCCAGCTGCCGCTGCAGCTGCTGCTGCCGCCGCAGATCCTCCACCCTTCTCTGGCCCAGAGACGCCCTCAGCCAGCAGCATGTTATCCAAACGCATGATCTGTGGATCTGGAGGATCCTCCTCCTGCACGCCTCTGATGCTCAGCACTGCAAAACACAAAAACAACAGTCAAATTCACCTTTGAAAACGGTCATGTATATAAAATTCAGCATATAATGGCACAAAACATTAATAAAGCAAAGGAAACCAGAGCCAAATTTAAATCACTCCAATGATGAACCATGTAGAGTCAATTCTATTTAAAAAGAAATACAATGAATGTCCACATGATCTCATTGGGTTTCTCAGTTATATCTCACATCTATTTAAGCTTGTTAACATCGGCTGATCATTGTATTGAGTAAAAGATAAGAATGTAACAATTCACCCGACTCAAGATTCAATATGATTCACAACACTAATCTCACGATTCAGTCATGATTTATACAAGTAATACAAACTAAAGAAGAATCATTAATATAAACAAACTAAGAATGTGCTGGGATTTTTCACATTTTTTTAAAAGAGATATCAGCATATCTCAGTTTTCTGGTATAAACTGAGGTCTTTTCACATTTACAGTTGAAGTTAGAGTTATTAGCCCCCTTGAATTATTTAGACCGCTTGTTTATTTTTTCCCCAATTTCTGTTTAATGGAGAGCAGATTTTTTCAACACATTTCTAAACATAATAGTTTTAATAACTCATTTCTAATAATGGATTTATTTTACCTTTAACATAATGACAGTAAATAATATTTTACTAGATATTTTTCAAGATACTTCTAGACAGCTTAAAGTGATATTTAAAGGCTTAACTAGATTAGTAAGGTTAACTAGGCAGGTTAGTGTAATTAGGCAAGTTATTGTATAACAAGGGTTTGATCTGTAGACTATTAAAAAAAAAAAATAAAATAAGGGGGCTAATGATTTTGTCCCTAAAATGGTGTTTCAAGAATTAATAACTGCTTTTATTCTAGCCTAAATAAAATAAGACTTCCTCCACAAGAAAAAATATTATCAGACATACTGTGAAAATTGCCTTGCTCTGGTAAACATAATCTGGGAAATATATATTTAAAAAAAAAAAAAAAAAATCGAAAGGGGGCTAATAATTCTGACTTCAACTGTACGTGTCCCCTGCAGATGAAAAACTCTTTGACTGGGGACTGAGATGGCTGGTGTGACTGCGAAGAGGTAAGCCTTTCCTGAACCAGAGAGCAGGGTGTACAGGAGGTCAATACTACTTTAAAAAGGAGAGTAAACATAGTCTAATACCTGCGTCTGTAACAGAACAACTTTATTTTTCCTTCTAAAAAACATCTTCACACTTTCGTTATGAAAACACTGATGCACTATGTGATTTCCATAGCTCTCAAAGCAAGCAGAGCTACAAATCCTTCGCTCCGTGTGATTTGTCTTTAATTTTAATTTGACTTTTTTTGCGTATAGATTCTGAAGGTTTATGTGCATCATATTCAGTGATCTGTTATTGTAAGTTAACGCTGTTTTGCAGTATTTGCACATAGTTTGTGTTTTGTCTGGCGACCTTCATGGCTGCAGGCTGCAGTCTGCCGTCCCACCTCTCGCCCGCCGCTTGTGTACAGGTAAAGCAAGTTTGTGCCGGTAAACACAGTGCCCCTTGTTTAAAACATGCATCGCAAGTCGTTTAACTGTCTACTGATTTGAATAGTCACATTTTTAATCGATTTTCAACCGGCTCACAGTGAATCGTTAAATCCCTAGTAAAAGATAAATACAAACAAAACAAATCAAATACAATGAAAATAACGACAACAAATATATATATAACTAGAGACCAATAGAATAGTTGACTTGGTTTCTGCAAAAAATTAAATTAAAGACAACTGAAATTGGAAGCATTTACAAAAACACTTTAAAGCAACATTATATACTACTGTAATAAAGTGTTTACATTAATGTAGGCTTTTATTGTAAGATGGGTGGGTTAATATGGCTACTTTTTTAGTGTTACAATTTACAAAGAGGGTTATGGGCTATATGCACGGCTAGTGTTTTTCAGCCCATGATGAACTTCTGGTGAAAGCTTAATGCAAGTATTTCAATTTCATGTGGTTCCTTTTACAGCATCGATGTTGTAATGTAACACATCCAATTGGTTGTTAAAACGTAAAGAGACAAAAGATGCAGGTGCCGTCATTAGCAGCAGGCTAGTGCAGAATATCCATTAAAAATACTGGGGTAAAATTAATTTCAATATTTTAAAGGCATGACGGGCGGAACAAAGAAATTCAGTATAGTGCTTCTTGTTTGGTCTGATGCCGTATCTCGTATCTCAGCCAGACAGTGAAGTTTTTTTTCTTTTAAGAAATCAGATCTTAAACACTGTGTTTTTGTATGGGATGACAATTAACCAGAAGCCCAGGGGCTGGCTGACTGAAATTAAAAGTCTGTGTGCATATACCCCATTACATCAATTAATTTCCACATTTCATTTAATGTAAGAGTCTTCAGTCCTCGTTAGTGTCAATATATCAGTTGTATTATTAATTAGTGCACCAATATTTGTATTTTGTATAAAAGAAAGGCTGCTTTAACTCTTAGTTATCAGGGTTGAAAAGATAAATTGCAACCAAAACAAAGGAAAAAAAAATTATAAAAAATGTAAGAAATTACAGAAAAGAAAAACAAACCTCAGGGGGAAAAAAGGAAAACGTATAACAGTGTTCCAGTTGCCCCTGGTTTCCCCTGTTATAAAATGAAGTGGTTCGGTTCCCCTGTGAGCCAGCAGAGGGCAGCATGGCACCTCATTGGCAGGCCAGAGTGTAAGGCACAGGTCCAATAATAGGAGAGCATGTGCTGTCACTACAAGCACCAGCAGCCATAAGTACACACTTCTCTGGCACTGAATTAAAGCAAGACCTCTGTCATCTTCCTGTTTCAGGCCCATCGCTCACACCTATACGAGCACTCGCTCCACACTCACATACATATGCAGACGCAGAGCTGCCCGGTGACTGAGGCCAAAGCGTGAGAGCGATTATGTGTGGAAATACATGACACCCACCGAAGAGGGTTTGTGGTTGCTCTAGAGCACTTTCACACAGAGAGACATATGAGAGGTTGATGTACAAAGGGAAATGCCACATTATATAACATTTACAGACACTTTTTACAGGTAAATATAGAATTTATTTGAATCTGCAGATATTTTTGATGAGAATTTTGGGGGGAAAAAAATCTGTGGATTAATGCTGAATGGTTTTAGGAGTATCATAACTAAAAACTTAATTTATGAAATAAAAAATAATACATTTGTAACTTTTATTTAATCTTTATGATGCAAATCCATCTAGATCCACTTATTTGGAAAACAAAGCAAGTCTCATATAATATCTCAACTAAAAGACAGAACACATTACTTTACAAACTGTATAGTAAATAAATCATATGAACATTTTCATATTATTATTATTATTTTGATTATTATATACCACACTAATATTAGTGAAATGAATTTAAAAACAGAACAAATATGAATTGACACACATTTACTTAAGTAAATACATCGACTCAATTATAAAAATTTGCACGCACAAATTCCATGTGGGCCTACTTATGAGTAATCGCACTTAGAAATGTGTGTAAAATAAATATAGTTAAAAACAGAAGTATTACAGAGCAGTGTTTGTAAGATTGATACACTATTGTAGTTACTAAATACTTATCAATAATATAAAACAGAGAAAACGAATTGCAAACAGTTGACATCTCTTTAGTTTCTATAATGTTATTATTATTAATAAATTTGCATTATTTTACATCACAGATGTAGATGCAATAGTTTTGCATTTTATTTAAGTGTCTATAGTTTTTATTCATTTTAATTGCATTTTGAATTAACACATCAAGTGTATTTAGTTACAGTTATTTCATTTTAACTTATTTTAAATGAGAGAATTATTCTCTCTTGTGCGTCACAGTGATGCAGTGGGTAGCACGATCGCCTCACAGCAAGAAGGTTGCTGGTTCGAGCCTTGGCTGGGTCAGTTGGCGTTTCTGTGTGGAGTTTGCACGTTCTAACTGTGTTTGTGTGGGTTTCCTTTGGGTGCTCGGGTTTTCCCCACAGGTCCAAAGCTAAATTGATTGTAGTTTTCTTTTAAAGAAAATTAATCTTTTCAAGGCAGCATTTATTTTATTATATATATATATATATATGTGTGTGTGTGTGTGTGTGTGTTTAAAAACAACTACATGTTTATAGCAAGAAACAGAGTTCTTCTTTGTGAGAGCTCACACACACATACATGCACACAAGAACTCTTTCCCCTCTCTCTAAAAGCTGGATATAGTTTTTACAAATTTAAAGGGACAGCTACACTATAAAATCCACAAAGCTAAGGTAACTCAAACTGTTTAAGGAAACCGTTTGCTACAAACCATTTAAGTAAAAAAAAAAAACTACTAATCTATATGTGAACTTACTCCATGTAATGTATGTAATGTAATTACCTTACAGTCAATTTTGAGTGAACTACACCCATTTCATTTGATAAAGTTGACTGTTGGGTTTTACAGTGGACCTAAAAAAAGTAAATTCAATCATCCTTGTGTTTAAAAAGACAAACAAAAACTTTGTTTGGGATACTTTGCAACATGTCTCGGCTTCTACATTTCTATTTTGCAAAAAAATAAATAAATAAAGCGGATGAATCATCCAAACCTCTTTCACTTGTTTTGTAAAAATCTTTTTGTATTGTATTGAGGTCTCATTCAGTGAAATGATTTCTTTACTTGATGAACTTGACTCAAGAAAAGAAAAGTTAGTCTTCTGGATTAAAATCAATGAGTCAACTCTTAGGATTACTCAACAGAGGACATCTTTCTCAAAAGAAAATCTCTCCTGACTCAATGATTCAGCTCTGAACACTCCTGTGAAAGCACAGACTCCAGCAGTGTATCGAGTTTTGTTTTGTTTGCGAACTTTCGACCACAAACGGTGCAAATAAAGGGCCATTTGTTGTGTGTGTGGATGTTCTGTCTGTACCATCCCCGCAGAAATCAAAGCTGTATTTCCAATCCTCCCTTTAACTGATAACACATTTCACCCTCCCCCAATCACGCTG